CGGTGGTGGTTGTTGTGATGGTGGTGTTCGTTGTGGTGGTGGTGGTGGTGGTGGTGATGTGTCATTAGAATTAGCGGTAGCAGCTACAGTTGATGCAACTTTATTCAATACACCGACTACGGTTTTTGATACACCGGGTACAACATTTTTAATCATACGATCTGTCGGTGTAACATATTGTTTGGCTAAATGTTGATAGGTTTCACCGGCTAATCCATGAATCTCTTTCCCAAATTGACAAATATCATCACGTACATGTGAACGAAGATCACTGATTTTTGACCAATATCTTTCACTAAGGCTATTACCCGCATTGGAATGTGGTGGACGATATTTTCCCGCATCGATTAATGTTTGACGTAGCCATCGATATGATTTACGTTGCTCAGGCGATATCTCATCGATGAGATAACGCAAACGTTGATCAGTAATAAATTGTGGTAGATATATTGCAGCCATTATATCATCCCATATATTAGCCGAACAAACGGAATCATAATAGTGGAGATAATCTTCAATCGATTGGTTAGCTGATTGTGGTACCGGTTCGATAATCATTTTGGCCGGTAATTCTGGATACCGCATAAAGGTCGATGATGATGATGATGATGATGATTTATTAGCCATTGATTTATTGATATTCATTCGATTATAATATTCAATTTGAAATCATACAAGAAAGTAACAAACAAACAAACAAACAAATGTAATCAAGACCGAAAAAAAAATTTAAGTTTGTTTTTATATATCCATACGAGGCTCGAAAATGGTTAGAGAAGGAAAAATAATGATATTCAGGATATAACAACGTTGTTTCTTTTTTTTTTTGGGTACAACTTAGTCATCATCATTTATTACATTGAACGTCATCATAATTATAAGTCCGTACATACATTTTACAAACACACATACGCACACAATTTTGAAAAACATAATCGTATGATTTTTCCTCTATGGTTATCGTTCATTTTTTTTTTGTTCATTTATTCATTCAAAAGAGAAATTCATCAAGTGTCGTCGAACATTTTTTTTCATATTATGATTTTCTTTGTTTATCGGTAAAAACAAATTTTGTAAACAGTTTTTACCTGAAATTTTTTATTTCTTTGATCGTAAATAACAATATATCAGAAAAAGATTCTATACAACTTCGAATCGATTGATTGATCAAATGTATCCAATCGTTGATAATCATCTTTGTAGGAAAGCAATGCGATTTATTGATATAATTTTTTTGATGTTGAAAATCAAATACAAAAACAAATACCAAATACATATTTGATAATGAAATGTGTAATGAGATGTGTATTAGCTAAATTGCCATTACTAATACCGCTACCACAATCTCTATCTCTTCAAATGATTGTATTGAATTTTTTTTTTTGGACCACTCATACAACATTGATTGATTAAATAACTGGATTGACAACATCAATCGGCAAGGACATACACTACACTCAAACACACACACAAACATTTATGATATGTTTGATTTGCTAAATTGCTTTCCGATGTTGTTTCACTTCATTTGGAGCAAAACATTTATTGATTTATTCATTCGTTCATATTGACTTGTCATGGATTTCATTTTTAGTTTTTTTTCGGATTTTTTTCGGATGGTTCCACATCGTGATCATACCTTTAAACCAAAGTATTCAGTTTGACAACACGTATACTTTTCATGTATGATAGATGATTATGAAATATGGTAATGGTATTATGGGATTTTAGTCATTCATAGTGATTAGCATCACAAATCATCAATAGTATAGAAATGATTCAATAGACAATGGAACATATTACATATATATGAAATTGTAAATCAATCAGATTAATGTTGAAAAGATAACCAAAAATATTTTACAATCTATGAAAAAAAGCCATTTGAAGGTTTAGGTTCATTTAAAAATCATTGTATATAATAGAAATGACTAATTGCTCAGACCACAAAATCATTATTGTTAGAGATCACTAGGTATTGTTTGTCGATGATATGAGAAAAAAAAATCTATCGGAAAGAATAAAAGAAAATTTATTACCACTGCTACCATCATAAAATTTGAATGATGATACTTCATCCATAATAATGAATGAAAGAATCGTATATAAATGGATGAATGAATAAGAATAACCAAAAAAAAGTAAAAAGAACAAAATAAAGCCCAAAAAAGAAGAGTATTTCTGCATGTTGGCAAGAAACATCATCATCATCATTATCATTGTTTTTGGCCAGTAAAAAAAAAGAAAAAACCTCAGAAAAACCGAATCAAAGAATATGATCAAGTAATGGAAAATAGTTTGGAATATGCTCCGCCTTTTTGGATCAAGTGAATAGGCCCATTATATCGTTTAGAGAGAAAAGAAAAATGTGTTTAGATTCATTCGAATAACAGCGGCGTCTCATATATATGGCGGCAAACCAAAGAACTAACAATATTCTATTGGGTCTTTGCCGTTTCAAAATCGTCACCCATTCAATTTGTTAGATTCTTTTTGGCTGTTCATATATACATACAATCACACTCAAATAGACTTACTTGATTATAGCCATAATTATTGGGCGCCTTTCATTTATTCACTCCCGCTCATTCTCATTTCTCATTGTCACACATTAGAAGACACACACTCCTGATTTTGGGTCCCGTTTTTTTTTACTTTGGTCCCATTCTGTTGCTTACATCAATCTCACTTTTATCACCATAGTTCACTGTTTGATATTCATAACGACCACTTGTTTTGTATTTGTGTTTAAGCATTGTTGTTGTTTTTTTTTGGTTTTCTGATAATTATGTGTGATCCATCAATAATCTTGAAAATAAAAATTAATAGCTTTTTTGATTTTTTATTTCTTTTTATGTGTTTGTGTCAACAACAAAAAAAAATAAATTTTTTCCTAGTGATTAACCCATGGTTACCTTATTGTATCTTTAATAATGATTTTTTTTTTTTTGATTAATAATTCAAATAATATGCATCATGGCTATAACCAAATGATAGTTGCCAACATCAACGATAAATATGTGGAGGCCATTGTTGAGATGGAAAATTTCAATGATGTTATATATTGATGTGTAAAATTTATATTTAAACTATTGTATGGATAATCATATTTAACTTGTATGTACTGGAAGTACTGGATAATCAATCCGATTGTCAGTATAATATGTATTTTATTCCAGACTTTTACTCATCCACCGGCATATATACCATGATGTGTACATATTTATATGCTTTGTGTGTATTTTTTTTGTGGTTTAATTAATTGTTAAATGATCTCATTTCATTGGGCAGCTATTCATTGATCGAAATTGATCATTTTCAATACAAATGGAAAAATTAAAATTGTATGCACAACCATCATCATCATCATCATCATCATCATCATCATCATCATCACAGAATTATAGAAATGTAGAAAAAATTAAAGATCAACAAAAAAATAATGGATCCAATCAATGTTTTGATATAAAATGCATGGATCAAAATTATCATCCAGTTTTTGGTGAGTATAAATATTCATAACAAAATTCTTTTTTCGAAACATATATTGATCGATTCATTTTAATCATTGATGTAAAGTCAATTTGACAATGACAATCAAAATTTGAAGCCAATTTATTGTCCACAGAAAAAAATAATAATATTTAACATCAATGGTTGTAAATCATTTTATTTGTACACGTTATCATTATTATTGACATGATGATAACCGATTATTTATTTTTATTTTTTTGAAGATGATTGTACAGAAAAAAAACATCAAATTGTCACACAATGTCATGTCCGATCCATTAAGTGAATAAGAATATTTAGTCACGGCAAATAAAATATAATGAAAATATATTCTATTTGTATTTTACTATTTGGCCAATGCCCATTCATCATCATCATCATCATCATCATCAAAAGTAGTCATAGCTTAAACCAAAAAAAAAAAAGTGTTGGTTTGTTTGCAAGTGTATGAATGATTGGTCATCATTGTTGTTGTATGGGCCAATTATTTTGAAATTCCCTCGCGTAAATATTTTTGTCATGTATTGAGATCTGAAAACATCCCATCACAAAAAAAAACATCAAATGTTGATTTCCATCATGCAATGTGAGACCGCAATGAACATTTTCATGTCTAAATTTGTGTATGTATGTGTGAGTAAGATGATTCGATTCCAATTCATCATTGGCTGTCAACCAAATAATTCGCTTTTCCTTTTTTTTCCTCAACATTATGATCGAACAAGTACTGTTTTTTATTTTATTTTTTTTTCGTTTGCTTCCACGTTGTCCGGATTCTTTCATTGATCGGAAATGTTTTTTTTTTCATTGATGTTGTGACAAGAAATAATGAGACCGATAGAACAAAACAATAAATAACGATGACCACAGTGAAAATTAGAAAAAAAATTATTCAGTTCCATTTTCAAATTCAACATTGAGAATTTTATATTAGAATCTAATATGGAATCAACTGACCAAGTAGTTGATGAGTCATAAGTTGATTTCAAACAAGTTCCAATAAATGAAACAATGACTTAACGTAATCTCATTAATCATTTGTCTTGTAAATCATCAGAAAGTTATTACACATTGCAATAAATTGTTGCTGTTTTTTTTATTGCTACTACTATTAAGATTTTCCGGCACAATTAAGGATACACCTGTATGATTGTATTAAAGTATTTTGATCAGATAGATATGAATGCTGCCGGTTGATTTTCATCTTTGGTCTCTAGGAGATGAATGAATGAAAAAAAAATATAAATTTAATATTGGTTGGGCGTTTTTTTTTTGTGTGTGTGTGTGGTTTATTGAAAGTTTGTTTATTTTACACATAAAAAATTCTGATAAAATATGATTTTCAAATAAACAAATTTTTTTCATACTTTTCTCTTCGATTCTTTTTCCAGTAATTAAATCGACAAATCATCATTCATTGACATATAATCATCATCATTGTTATAATCGAAAATTATTGTTATCATCATCATCATCATCATCATTATTATTATTATTATTATTATCATATTCATCATCAATGTTCACATCAATCCATCAAAATTTTATATTGATTATAACATTAATGGCCATTTCATCTATACCGTTAAGTAATTGTTTAAAAATTACATTATTGGATATACCATCACCATTAGTAGTGGGTGAATCTGCCGAGCTCACCTGTAATTATGATCTTGAAGATAATGTTCTTTATTCATTTAAATGGTATAAAGATGGTATTGAATTCTATAGGTTCGTATCTTTTATGGACAATATTTATTGAAATAATTTATATTGCCAATTTTTTTGTTATTCTTTTTTTTTTTTGATTTGTAGATATGTACCACGTGATTATCCACCAACACAATATCTGAAAATGTCCGGCATCAATGTCGATGTAAGTGAAATGAATTGATCGGTTATCATTGATTTTAATTTTTTTTTTTTTTGCAAAAAAATAGATTCGTAAATCGAGTAAAAAATCAGTGTTCCTGCATAATGTTAACCTGAGTACAAGGGGTAAATATCGTTGTGAAATATCTGCCGAAGCACCAAGTTTTGTTACAGCAGCAAAAGAAGGAAATTTAGAGATTAATGGTAAGTTATTATAATGTTTAGATTGTTTGGACAAGAATCGCAATCGGAATATAAGAAAAAGTATTAGTGAGAATTTCGAAAAAAAAGAAAAAAGCACATCATAAAAAAACCATTTTTTCTAGTGTGTTTCTTTTCTAGTTGGCTAATAAATGACACTTGTGACATGGCTATAATTTTCTATCAAAAGAAATCTAAAAATCATATACAATGAATAGAAAAATCTATATGGACATTTTATCATTTATTTTAAAATATAAAATGTCCAAATAATAATATTAAATGAAACTTTTATCGAATGAAACATTATGACATTTTCGGATTCTATACAGTTGTTGTTGTTGTTTTTATTACGTTAACAACAATACACTTGAAAAATTTTCTAAAAAGCCCCTTTTTAAATTTAAAAGAGGAAAAGGAAAAAAAATAACAATATTAGAATCAGAGAGTAGTAGTTGCCAGGATAATTTAGATGATATATATTTTAGATCCAAAAGATTGAGACAGAAAGTGGCTAAATAAAAACAAAAATAAAAATTAACCTCATGTGTTTCAGTTTTTGTTTGTTTTTTTGGTCCCGTTGGAGTACAGTAGATTCTAGATTTTAATTTCGATTAATCGACACACACACACACTTAGAAACAAAATGGTCGAATTGCCTATTAATCATAACGCCATACCGACACAAACACATTGTCGGAGACACAATTTCCAAAGAAATCGAAACTATTGTACGCTAATCTTTGATCTTATTTTATCTGCAAGGCAATCTATTTGGTCAAGTCGATTGGTTAGTCGGCCTGGAAATTAAAGTTGAAATGGACCAAGTTTTAAAAAGTTTTTTGAAACTTTTTTTCATTGTTACATGTCTATGAGCGATGGATTCATTAGTCTTATGTTGATATATGTATTAGTAGTGGTAGAATTTTATTTCCTTGAATTTTATTTTTTTATTTTTTTCGTCATCTAAAAAAGTTTTAAGATTGTAAAATCAATGACAGGTATATTCGTACTATCAATGATTTTAACTATCAAATCAATGTGAAAGGGAAAAAAGAATCAAGGAAAAGAACTCAATCACTCTCAGTCACCGTAATTGATTGATTTCATACAAACAAACAAACAAAAAAATTCGGCCTGATAATAACTAAAATAAATCAAAACAAAACTAAACAAAAAAATAAACTTTGTGTAAAAAGTTCAATTTAATTTCGATGATCGACCAAATGAAAGAAAAAAGCACCAAATCAAAGATGCTACATCATTGAATCGAAAAAAATTTTTTCCTTATAAACAAAAAATGAACAGAAAAAAAATTGAATTGAATTTGGAAACCAGTAGATGTGCAATGAAGTTTAATCAAATTATAAAATTGAAAAGGCAACAACAACAAAAAAAAGTAAAAATAAAAAAACATTAAAAGTCGATTATTACATTTCTGTTCATGTTGAACCGATGATGGTGATGACAAAATATAATATGACCAAACGAATGTGTCAAAGACATAATAATGTTTATATATAGATGGAAACACCGAAATTCAATTCAATTTACCAAAAGAAAAAAATAAATTTAATTTCATTCACTTTTTACTTTCCAGGTTTGTTATTTATGTAACACTAGTCTATACCAAAATTTGGGTTTACTTTATTCATTCATTTATTCATTCATAGGACAATGACAGGACCTTGTTCATTTGTTTGTTTATATGCTTCCATTTATATTGTATTTGTAAAAGAAAAAAATCTAATTTGTCAATTATTCAATGATTGAAATAACTCTTCGACAAAGAAAAAAAAAGGTCAAATGTATATAATATGTGTGTGTATAGTAAAATGAGTCCCCAGAGAAGTCGATCCATTTTCTAAGGTTTCTTTCGGAATGAATTCTTAGGTGAAGCCCCGCATCCACGAACCAACAAACATCTTATACATTCATTCATTTCATACATTGAATTCGATGATGAGGAATGAAATCGAGATCATTGTAGCCAATGTATTAAAGATTTACACGGATCATTTGTGAAAAAAAAGCTTTGAAATGAAATGAAGATTCTTCTCACACACACACAATGACAGAGTTTATATATCGTATTAAATCCATACGATTGGAATTTCTACTTTGTTTCCAGTGAAATAAACAACAACAACAAAAAAATTCAAAAGTTAATATTTTTCTTTCTGAAATGAATCTAAAAAACCGAACAGAAAAAAAAGTCAAGTCAATTTTGTGATGATGATCATTTTCGACGATTTTCGTCGACGTTTACGCTTACATGGTTCAATTTTGAGAATCATTCTGTATATCACCATCATCATCATGAGAAGAGAATGAAAGACGTATTTCAATTTCAGATCAAATTCAGAGGGTTGAAGTGAATATAGAAAATGAATTGAATGGAATTTTATTTATATTTTTGAGCTGTTCAAAAAACTGATTATGTTTTCTACACATGTACAACAACAACAACAGTGTTACCAACTAGTGGCCCAAAAATAACGACCGATCAAAATAAATATACGGTTGGTGATGAAATACAGGCCAATTGTACATCGGATCGTTCAAATTTGGATATTATACTCAACTTTACAATCAATGGTGAACCAGTAAGTATCAATCAATTTGATATTAATTTGAATTAATTTGTTTTATCCAATTTACAATTATAAATAAAAAATATATAAATAGATAACAAATAGTATTGATTATGAAGTAAAATATTCAACACAATTACATTCAGATTCATTGAAAACATCCGGTTTATCATTACGATTCTTATTGAATGATAAACATTTTTATCAAGGAAAATTAAAGCTCAAATGTATTGCATCAGTACCATTATATAATATACAGAATGAAGCCATCAAAATTGTCAAAGATTATCAATATAGACATGAATTGTTACAATATTTTTCATCATCATCAGCATCGTCATCTGCAAGTGAAAGTCAAGGTTTGTTATTATTACATGTGAAATGATGGAAAGAAATTTTTTTTCCCATATATATTTGTTTGTTATTGTTACACTGTGCATGGCATGAATGTGTACAATTCAATTTGAATTGAATTGTACCGCATAATATCGAAGTGTATCCATCCATATGTATCCATACTATTATTGAACAGGAAAAAAAGTGAAGCCAAACAAAATGCTCTTTTCAAAATCATCAAATCTTTTTTTTAGGAGATGAAACGAAAATTGATTTTGTTCCATGTTTTTTTCATTTCTCTCTCTCTCATCTTTTATCCAATGAGCCAAACAGTTATAGTGAATCTTTTTTTTTTTGAATTTCGTTTTTTAGTTTTTCTCTCAACTCCATGTGCTTGTGTGTGTGTGTATTTGTCATTGACTTGTGAACGACAATCCAATTGGGTTTGCTGGTTTCATCATCATCATCATCATCGCAATCACTAAGCCAAAAGCATTTCTATTCATCGTCTACTAAACGATTGCAGATTTATTTTTTTTTCACTATTCTTTTATGAAGAAGGCCTTGGAGCCATATATATTCTTGTTGCATTCTCTATATTGGTTCCATAATGGGACAACTAGTTAGAGAAAAAAAATCCAATGTTTGTTTATTTGTCTCATTGCAACTTTGCTACAATCTGTAAAGAGGGAACGTTTCAATCAATCCATTCATTCACATTTAATACAAGATTGAATTTAGACGAAGAAATTATGAGGAATGACGAGGGAAAAAAGAATAATAAAAATTTTATTTTATATCCATAGTTTTCATGGCTTGACCCAGAATTATATATAGACAAATGCTTCTAAATTTTCGATCATTAGATATTTTCAAATAAATTTTTTTCTCTTTCTTTTGCTCATCACTAAATATAAATTTATATTTCAGATGCAACTCATTGGTCGTGTAATAATTAGTGACAATGAAATTTGAACATTCCGATATACAATACAATAGTATTATACGTTTCAAAAAATGAATCGCCACCATTCTGAACGGATGGTTGGCGTGAACATATTAAGAACACAAATGTCGCACACACACACACACACACACACAAATAGTCGACGTTGTTGTGATCATAAAAGCCTATCAATGATGATGATAATGGTGACCAACCCAATGGACCATTTGAGAGCAAAAAAAAAAAATGGGCCCATCAAATTATTATATCTTTTTCATAAAGTTGATCATAATTGTTACCCACCATATCCTAATCAATATATGAGCCATCCACCATTCATTCATTCATTCATCCATTTGGTATTTTGAGTCTTTATGTCACTTCCATCCCCTTTACATTATAGAATTCATGATGATGATGGACTCTTCTGATGATGACTGCCGTTGTCGTCATCATCATCCAATAATCGTAATAATCATATCATCATAATGGATAGAATAGATATTTTAATTTAATTTATTATATTGATGATAATAATGCATTTATTTTTCAACTCTCACCCCCTTTTATATAGTTATGATATGATTATGGTTACTATCGACAAAAAGTCGCCATTCTCTCCTTTTTTTCTGGCCCTGTTTTTTCATGATTCCCAAAACTGGTTTTTTTTGCCATTCAATTTTTTTTTATTGTTATTGTTGTTCTATTTCATCATAAATATTGAATGATTATTATTATTTCGATTCCATTTTCTTGTTTCTTTTTACTTTGTTTATATCCAATGTTGAGTTGTATAGATAAAATGATTATTTGATCATGATCAAAGTCGATGTCATTGAGAGTGAAAGTTAAATGTTCAGTTAATTATCATAGATGAGCATCATATTTGAAAAATCGATGAACAATCATAATCATCAAATTCCAAAAGTTTTACCTGGTTTCTCTACCAAGTCTAACTGGTGAATTTCTGGACAACTTGTTCATCTTGGTCATTGGTCCGTACAATTCTAATACATAATATCATTGAGGCTTTTGTTTTGTCTATATGTGTTCATATAATGTCTTCTAGTTAAGAATGATACTCATTATTAGACAAAATATATGAACATGGTAATAATTATTAATAATTAATACAATATTGGTGTGGTCCATCGGCCTCTGTTGTAGTTTTTCTTTACATTTTTTTTTTTTTTGTACACGTTTTGGTCGGCTACATTTAATGGATTTGTATTGGGCCAAAATATATTTGAACTGAACAATTCCATAATACATACAAATACATCAAAATGGATGTATGAGTGGTGGATGGATGGATGGATGAATGCTGTTCATAATGATGACAACAACAAAACTTGCCGACCAAAACATCATTTTGGTTGTCGACATTAAAAACAACCACAATGATGATGATGATGATGATGATAATGATGAATAAAACATAATAATCATATAATCTTGCAATGAGAGTTTGTGTGTATGTGTGAATAGCAAATCCATTTAGACAGAATTAAGAGCATTTTCATTTCATTTTATATGATGATGATGATTCACTTAGAAAAGGTGCCGATTTTCTTCGCATATCCAATCCAATGTTTGCTATCCATTATATATATATAAATGTTATGGATAATTCATATTCATATGTTTTTTTTTTTTTTTTGATTTCTTGTCTTTGGAAAATTTTCTTTCATTCTTTTTCTATCTTTATTATCATGAATAGCAGCACGATCAAAAGTATTAAACACTGGACGTATACATCATATTGGACATTATGGTCATCTAACCGAAATGAATATGGTCAAATGTTTATATGTTCTATTTACAACATTGATACATTGGCAATTCCAGAATTTATTCCAATAATTTTTCGATCAATCAAACTGAACCATCAACTGTAACTGTACAGCATTGGCAAAAGAAATGTAATCAATTTAATCAGATATTAAACAAAAATTGTAGAATACAAACAAACACATCAACCCCAATTCTCAATTTTAAATCGATCGACATTTTTTTCTACTCAATTTGTCAACAATATCAATAAATAAATGTATGATAGAATTAAACAAGAATTTTTTTTAAATTATCTCTATTCCTTAATTATGTTTAGTCATTATTTTTCATCCTGTTAATTGATTTTTGATTATTTGTGTTGTAATTTTTTGGAATGAATATCGATAATTGATAATTAAAATTGTAAAATATAATGATTTTCACAGAAACAGATTTTTTTTACTTAGAAATATCAATTTCATTGAATTATGGTTGAACAAATAATAATAATAATGATATTAAGATTTTAATAATTTATGTTTGACAGATTTTTTTCTTTTCACTATATTAGATTCAGGTGTTAACTACTATTAAAAATGGTTTCCAATTCATTCAATACTTGCTTTCCGGTTTCAACTGTGTTCATATACACGTAATTCAATTTAGCAATTCGGTTTCGTTATGAAAAAAATTTGTTTTCCTTAGGGTAATGTGAATTTTTCAATTTTTTTTTTCATCACTACATTCTATTACATTGATTCAAACACTGCGCTTACCTTCACATATTTATATATGAGAATGGAATCATTTTTCATTGTATTCAATTTACAATTGAAAATGTTGATGGTGAAAACAAAGTGTTGTATGTATAAGCAGAATAAAATAAAATGAAATTCTCTGCATAATTGATACTGTGATAAGAGTATTAGTCAAGAACTTGATCCAATTTTAATTGATAATCCAAATTCATAGTTGTCACATAAATTTCTTTGTATAATTAAGAAACAACTTTCTTTATGAAAATAGAAGAAAAAAGTAAAAATCAGTGAAACTTGACAACAATAACAACAACAAAAAAAATTATACAACAACTGCTATTATGCGAAAAGAAAAAAAAATTTAAATTGACAAATTGTCAGACTTTGTTCATGTGTGTTTGCATTATTATCCGACAAGGAAAAACATTATTATTATTATTATTATTGCCCAAAGAGAAAAAAACTTGAAATTTCACTAATATATTAATCGGGTGAAAATATAGAAAAGAGACAGAAAAAAATTACGTTACTCGGGTAGCAGCAAATCATTGTCGTTCATAGAAAATAATAATAATAAAATACAATTCCAATCGAAATTGGTTCAAATTGCTTATATATGTTCATATTTAGTATGTATTATTCAAATATTTACAACCAAAAAAAAACTGGTAGGAAAATGAAGGCGGCCAAATAATAATGTAATAATAATAATCATCATCATCATCATTCGTTTATGATGAAGAAAAGCTTTTGAAGGCGATTTTGGATAAGGGAAGTGAATCTCAATGTGTCTCAGGAAATAAAGTTGTGTTTTCTGACGTAACCAGAAAACACTTATATAATAAGAAAAATAAAATACTTGACAAGTTGATGTTTGCACAATAATTTGATTGACTTATCTTCTTATTTTATAGATTTTTTAGTTGCATTCTGAAATGAAAATTCATACCACAAATGAATGTTACGGATGTTGTTGTCCAAACACACATTGAAGGAATCGATGACCAACCAAAAAAAAAAAAAAAATGAAAATCAAATAGAGTAAATAAATAGCCTCTAGGTATTCAATGATTCTGGTGTTTGTGGTTCACAATTCCAACTTTCTTTCATCTTTTTATCGAAGAAAAATTCAATGCTGATACAAATAACACACAAGCACAAACGTGCACGATCAAACTGAATTTTGGTACAAACTATAATTCAAAACATGAATGGTCTATTAAAATACAATTACCATCTTGACTTACACACACACACTCTATTCCCATCTTTGCACTCTATAGGCCTGGTGGACTTTGAATCACATTTTCATTTTATCATCTTGAAAATTAATTTGATGACATTGCTTGACTCTAATTTCTTTCATCATTTCTATGTTTTGTCTTGTTGAATTACGTGTATGTAGTACTTGAGAATATTGTCAACTGGAAAAAAAAGAAAATTTTATTCAATTTTATTTTCAACAATAAAAATGAAATTTTTCATTTTTACTCTTTTTTTTTCTAATTATTTGAGTGATTTTTATTCTTCATACACAAAAAATTTTTTTTTTAGCTGAATGGAATAAAAAAATGAAAAAAAAGTTCCGAACAATCAAAAGACCAGAAAATAAATGGCTCAGACAGACATAAGGCTGACAAGTTAAGATAATAATGAGGCCTTAGGCTCCGAATTGATCGTCGTGTAATATACACAGTTGTCATCATTATCGTTATCGTCATCATCATTTTTTGTTGCTATTGTTATTGTCCAAAACGATGTCTTGGTCATTCATTTCATCAATACAATATATAATCCGGTCGATTCTTACGTTTTTTTCTATATTTCCTTATCAATCGAGAAAAAAAATGATCGCTAAATTGTCCTCAAGCTATAAACTATTTTTTTTATCAGAACTTACAAACAAAACACATACATTCTAGGAATAGCTAAAAGTAATAATTGAAATGAATAAGCAGAGCTATAATCATAATTATTCGCATCATCATCATCATCATCATTATTATTGTTGTTGTTGTTCCATTTTGGAACAAAATTTTGAATCTGAATTTGTTTTTTTTCCACAGGAAAAAAAACACCAACTTGAAATGAATGAATTTTTGAACATGGTTCACTTGTTCTATTCTTCAAACACCAGCATCATCATGATCATCATCATCAGCATCATCATCAACATCGACAATATGTATCGTATATAATATATGAGGTAGGGAGAAAAAAAAGAATAATCATTTTTAAAACCAACAATCTTTTCATTTCATTCGTTCAACTTGAACATTATATCGAAAACCATCATTCAAATTGATCAACAACAACAACAACAACAACCAGGGCAACAAAAGAATGAACAAAAAAAATACAAGAATACACACCAACATTACATTCCATTTCTCTCTATATATGAGTTTAAACGTAGATAATGAAAGGTTATGTGACCATAAAAAAATATAAATGAAAAGCATAAAAAATAAATGAAAAATTCAATAGAATAACACACACACACACACACACCCATATGTGAAATCTTTGTGTGTATATGAAATGGAAAGGAGGAAAAGGAAGATGAATGATTAATTTATCTATTTAGACTTTGTGGTTAAGATTCTTTTATGAATCTGTATTTAAATTTTTTTTTCTCATACATCGAGATATAAAGTAGCAGTGGTGGTGGATAAATGGGAATGAAATAAAAATTTCAAATTTCTTTGAAAGCTTGTTCATTTTCTTGATTAAGGAATGAAAAAAAAAATCAGAAGTAAATCCAAACTAATTAGATTCAAATCAGAATAAATAATGTTTTCAAAACGGATGGTAAGATTATTGTCACGCCGTCGTCGTCATCGTTATGATGATCATCATCATTAATTTTTGATATTCATAATTTTTATGCATGTAAAAAAAAAGAATTCAATTGCGAATCGCAGGTATTTGGTTGGAATTTTAATTCTACATTTTCTTATATACATTGCATACGAACCAAATCCATATTCTTTATTCACTTTTTTTTTATTCACCATTCACAAATCAGCATCAAAGTCATTTACATTTATTCATTGTGATTATAAATGGAAAAAGTAATTTAAAATTTTTTCCTTTTCTCGTTTTGTTGAAACAATTTTTTTTCTGTGTTTTTGTTCGAGGTTCATATTTTTTTTCTATTCAGCTTCAATCTTGTATAATTTCATTTTTTCTCATTTTATTGCATTTTTTTTCAAATTCCGCTCAATAAATTTTTCAGAAAAAGTGTTGGATGAATTTTTTTTATTATTGAATGAGGGGTCATAAAGAAAAAGAAAATTCATTATTCGGCAATACATTTGATGTATATATGCGTGTTTCAAAAGAAATATTTATCTCCATTAGAAAATTCATTATCTATATGGAAATCATTCGAAACAATTTATGCTCAATGGATGCTATTAGTACAATGTTATCCACCTGGTCTCAAATATCAGTCAACAATTGTTGGTGTGGGTTCTAGTCTGGTGACACACACAGTCATAATAAAAGTCGTCAAACGATGTTACAATAATGAAATACGTTTCATACAAAAAATATTTCCATTATTAGAACGTTATCGTACATTACCAACATTGCTAAACAATTATTGTCATGATCCTGATCGTCATTCATGGTCAAATCGGTCGCACTATTGTATATTGTTGAATATTTCTTGTTGAATAAATTGTATTTTTTGTGACAATAAAATTATTTCCATTTCCTGTGATTTTAGAATTTTAAAATTTAATCATTCATGAAAGGACCTCCTTTTTCATCATAATTAATAAGCGCCTAATGGTCTAAACATACATAGACATACACACACACACACACAAAATGACAAAAACATGAATCGATATTTCATCCGAAAGGAAATCCTCAAAATTCATTGCATTAATGAAATAGAAATTTTGTTTTTCATTCATTGTCAATAATCATAATATCATTCAGTCATTCATTCGTTCATACTAAAATGAAGAGCATTAGAAATTCGATCAAAAAATTAAGAGCATCATGGGCGTTTCGTGAATCAATTCAATCTAATGTTAATGAAGATAATAATGATGAAGATGATGATATCGAAACAAAACGACTTCGATATCAGCAGATGATATCGAATTTGGTTATTTATAAAGGCTATGAATTTCCCGGTGATGCTGTGCATAAACGTGTATTGGAAAATATTGAAGATTTTGATGTTCGTGAAGACGATATATTTCTCATTGCTTATCCAGCTAATGGTATCCATTTACTGGAAGATATTGTGCAAGCATTGTTGCAAAAACATTTGGAAAAGAAAAATATTCAACAACAAGAAACAAATAATGAAAACCATGAAGAAACAAAAGAAATTGTCGAAGAAAATCCAGTTGATCAAAAAGACATAAAAAATCATAGTGATCAACAAGCGTCACAGATACCTGTGGCCCGTTTAGAAGCATCGAATCTTTATGGCCATATTCGATGGTTGACAAGTCTGCGATCACCACGAATAATTTCGACAAGTCTACCTTATGATCTATTGCCACAACAATTACATATACCAACGGCAAAGCTGATCTATATGGGACGTAATAGTAAAGATCATATTGTTGCCTATTATTATCATCATCGTTTGAAAGGTGTACAAATCTCATTGGATGATTTCATTGATCTTTATCTAAATGGAAATCTTATATATGGTAATTATTTTGATCATATTGTATCGTATTGGCAATTATCACAACTTTATCCGAATAATGTACTGTTCATTTGCTATGAGGAGCTTAAAATAGTGAGTAATCAATTTCTGATTGAATTGAACGGATTTTTCTAAAATAATTGATTTGATTTCAGATAACCTTGACAATTGTTAAATTAATTGTTAAATTTTTGAATTTGAATTTGGATGAAAAAGAAATCGAAATGCTTATTGTGGATAAACAATTCATTCGAAATACATCGAATACCATGAATGGCAATGATGATTTACAACGACAACAGGAAGATTCGGATCGACAACATGCACATAAAGTGAATAAATTCCATAATGTTCTTGGGGATTGGGATAATTATCTTAATATCGATCAATGTCGTCGTGTGGATGAAATGATTCGTATAAAATTCGAATCACAACGTTTATATCTAACTGATGATGCTGAAATGGCATTGAATAATGTTGAAAAATTTGGCAGAATTTTATGCAATAAACCTGATAATAAACCTAAATCTCGTCTTTTAAGTGGAATCGGTGTGACCAATGCTATGCTGACAATGACACCGACAAGAAAATCAAAATCTACATTCCAAAAGAAACTCATTTTAACTAAAGATGAAGCACAATTTATACGAAAAAAAGATAAAGTGATTATCATTGAAAATATTGATGATGAATCAGATTCGAATCAAAATGATAAACAATCCAATTGGTTTTCACGAATTTTTTGCTTTTGTTGTACCGATTCGAATCTATTGAAACGTCGTTCCTATAATAAACTTTAAAAATTAAAAATTACATGGTGATCAACTATAACACATCATAGATAATTACCAAATGATGATTAATGTTGAATTCATAATTGATTTATGAATTAGAAAAAAAAATTCGCGCATGAATGCTTGTCAACAAATCAAATTAATTAAAAAATCAAAGTTTTATGATGGACCTTGATGCTACAGGTTTCATATAAATAAGCAGGTTTGATGGTTTTCATATGTCAACATTAATTATTATTGTCATTATTTATAAATATATCTCATGATTCAATCACGTTGATTGCATCTTTGTGACGTTTTAGTCATTTATAGTGACACAAGAAAAAGTTTTGATGCAAATGTGTTCATAACGAACACAGTATTTAATATTCAGGAGAAAAGAACCTGAGTCAATCATTTAAAATCAACAAGTTTAACTGATTAAAATAGTTGGTTCTTTGTTATTTATCGAACAAAAACTTTGAAAAAACATCAAAAATGAATCATCCAAATAAATATAATTTTTTATTGACTACAGTAATGGCCACTGCCGTCCTATTAATGACGATAAGATCATGTCATTCAGCACCGTTTATTACAAAAACCGACAAAGGTGTCGATATCAATGTATGGCCATTTTTTCGTATGCATCTAGCTCGTGAAACACGTGGAATGGTTTTGGGCATTGAAGTACTAAGTGGTATGGTTAAAGTTAATTATGACCGGAAACCAGGCGAAAAACCATTCGTAAATGTTAGTGTATTTGGTCTCGGTGGATCGGGTGATGGTGCTGCAAAAGCAAAAATTCCTGTTGATGATATAGAAAGTGGACTTGGAGAGTTAAAAGCAGCACTTGAATCTGAAACTAATCTTTTACTTTAATTTATTTCCGAATTTCAAATTGTCCCAGTGGTTTATTTTGAATTTCCACTAAAATTTTATCTAATCTCATGTTCGGAAAAAATCCAAACTAGTTATTATTTGAATAAATTATTCAAAAATTTTGATCAATAAAATTAGTTTATTTATTTGAAAGTTTTTGATTTGATTATTGAAAAATAAATATAAAAAAAAATCTGAAATTAGAAAATTTGGTACTGATGTTTATGAACAGCGCGTTATTCGGTTAAAAGCAAACAAAGAAGTGAGACGGCAGAAATTTTTTTTAATTTTGTTTATAACTGAAAATAATTGAATTTTTTCAATTTGTTCAACTGAATAGAATCATTTTCTGTTTTTTTTCTTGAATTAGAAATCGTATATTTTTATTCATAAAAATGCTTATTAAAGTTAAGGTATTTATCATGTCAATTGATTGTTTTATTTCAAATTTGTCTAAAATTATCCATTTTATTCTATCATCTGTTCTAGACTTTGACCGGCAAAGAGGTAATTAAAATATTTGACACATTCTTTAGTTTCTAATATTTTCTTTTCTTATCCATTTGATATAAGATCGAAATCGATATCGAACCGACCGATAAAGTAGAACGAATCAAAGAACGTGTTGAAGAAAAAGAAGGAATACCGCCAGCTCAACAGCGGCTTATTTTTAGTGGAAAACAAATGTCAGTATTATTGAGTAATTGAATTTTGTTTTCATTTTCGTTTTCTCAATTTTTTTAGGAATGATGATCGAACCGCAAGTGATTACAAAGTAACTGGTGGTTCTGTATTGCATTTAGTTTTGGCACTTCGTGGTGGCTGTCAATTTTTTGCATCATGAAAACTCGATATAAAAAAAATCATAATTCATTTTGCTAAATTGAGAAAATTTTCTCACTAAATCATGACTTACGAGTGTGTTGTTATTGTCATTAATTTTAAGTTAAAAATTCATTATTCAATGTAAAAAATGAATAAAATTGAGATTTAATTTCTTTTTTTTTGGTTAAAATGATCATATTAGAGTGGATCCATCTGAGTTGAAATAGAATCAAAATCCTAAATCACGTGATTTAAGTCACATGTTTCTTGATTTTTTGAAGAATTTTGATTAATTTGATTATCTGTATCACAAACTAAAAAAATGGTCAATTTAACTCAGATTTGTTGTAAATATATGCCATTTTATTTTCGAAGACCTGAAAAACGTAGTGTTTATTTCCGTCGACAAGCTATTTTCCGTCTGACCGGAGTAAGATTCATTCTGTTATCAAAGAGAATGTTTGATTAAAACAAATTTCGTTTATTTTTTTTTTTTTGTTGTCTAGAACTATTATGGCCGAACACGTAATGTTTGGCGTGTTGCCATACATCGATGGCTTAAAAAAATGGTTTATCTTCAAGAATTTCGTCGACGACGAAATACACATATGGACGATCTATACAAACAACGATTATTGGCTGCTGTTGAAGAGCATGATTTCAAATCAGAATATTTCTTATCCACATTGACCAAAGTAAATATTCATTATAAATAATTCATATTAAAAATGATTAAAAATTTTTTTTTTCAATCGATAATAGTGCGATGTCGAATTGGATACGCGAATACTTTCATTATTGGCCACTTATGAACCACGTACTTTTAAGGTGAAACAATAATTAATCTTTCTTATTCTTACTTTACTGTCACTATAATATATTCCATTTTTTTCGGTCATATTTTAGTCATTGGTTGATTTGACCAAAACTGTTTTCCACGAAAATGCAACTACAGAAATAAGTCGTCATACAAAACCATGCGATGCCGTAATTACACGTGGAATGCTAAAAGAAAACATTTGAAATATATATTAAATTTATTCTTTGTATTATATAATATTTGTAGTTAATTTTGATAATTTTGATAAAATTTGGTAAAAGAACTTTTTAAATTGAATCTACATTGTTTGATGAAACAACAAAAGATGTCACCAGTGTCTATCAGATAATTATGCCACTAGATCTAAAAATCTACTGGTATTGCTATTTCCTGTCTTATACCACTAGATTTATGTTAGAAGGACCACCTTCTTTTTTTTGAATGCATTATGCTATCACAGTTTCAAATGTTCATATACGAACACACATCACATCATCACATTACAATGAATGCATATAACATTGCCGCGCGGCAGTTCATTTTCCGTAAGCGAATGAGCAAATGAATTGATGATCATTGGCATATCGAGACTGGCCGCTCAAGCTATCTGAACAAATTTAACCATTCTTCATTGGATTTTTACAATTCTTCGTTGATGATCTTATGAAATCACTTTGCACGAAAAATAGCAAACAAAAACTTGTTCGATGTCTTGTTTGTTGTGTGTTGGTAAAGTTGCGTGCAATCTAAAAGTTTTCGGTTTGGCTTAATATTCTTTCAGTTTGATGAAACCTGTATAATACCTGTGGATGTTGTTTTTTTTTACTCATGAGTTAAACCAATGAAATGATGCGGCTTTTTTTCTCTTTCTATTGATTCATGTTGCTTCTTCTTCAAGGTATGTTTGTGTGTGTGTGTGTGTGTGAGTGTGTGTTGTATTATGATTTTGTCTTGTCAACATTTGAAATTTTCATCGAGTGAAATTATCATTCGTCACATATTATTTGTTATTTGATGAATAATCCTTTTTCTACTGTTTTAAAACTTTAATATTATTCTAACTTCATTATCCAGGATCAAATTGCGCCAAAAATGTGAAAACACATCCACTCCAAAAGTTGTGGTATCGAATGTCTTTAACCGACCAAATAATAATAATAATAAAAAGGTTTATTATTATTATAAACAATAACACAAACAACTATCGGTTCAAATGATTGCCGAATAAGCCTGAATGTGTGTGTGTGTTTGTGTTTGTAAATGTGTGAATTCAATAAACTCGAATTTTCTTGTCGGTTTGTTTGCCAATATTAAATGGTTTGTGTTCATTAATCTCTATGGTTACCGTTTCCAACACCGGTGTTTTGTTTATCATTATTTTGTTTCATGTTTCTGGATCATCCATCCACAATTCGAATCACTGTGTATTTTTCGAATATAAATAATCACAGTTTTTTCATTAATTCAAGTTTCCACATATATCGAAAAGAAAAACAAATATTTATCTCTTTATTTAATTTGTTCACTGATGATTTCGATTTTGATTTTATTATTTGCACAGATTTCGATGATAATTGGCCCATTTTCATTTATTTGACAAACATCAATTCATGTGATTATGAAAACCGAAAAAAATTGACCAATAATAAAAAAAAATCTACTTAAACCACTTGTTTGCAAACTCAAGAGCATAAACATAATTTCAAGTCGTACAAATCAACGTGATACTATCGTCACTATTTGTCATAAAGTTATGAAGGAAATGAATTTTAAAAAATCAAACATTTCTTTCACAATTATCAGCATTCATTATTTTGATCCATAAGAATTTCCCAGAAACGAAAATATTTAAAAAATAAACGGTATGTTTTTATTTTCGTTCCAAATATAATAGTCTTGTTATTACCACTACTAAAACATAGTTTGATTATTATAACTCTGAATATGGTTGGCAGGTGTCTTTTTTTAAAATAATTTTTTCATTCTATCAATGAAAATAATCATTATCATCATCATCATCATCATCATTATTGATAATTACAGTACCACATGAATTAACCACTATCTTTATGAACACGCACACATTCCATTGAATTTGTTCTCCTGCCTATTTTGTTGTTTACCTGTTGTTCATTTTTTGCGTTCTTGCTTTTTATTTGTTTCTTTGTATATACCACGCCAAACATTTCGATATTTGTATATTAAAAGAACGAAATAAAACTCGTTTCAAAAAAAAGTTGCCTACTAGGTACATCGATTGTCGACCCAACTGTCATGATTTGGCCACCGAATGAATTTTCTTTAGTTTTGTATGTTTATGATGATGATAATAGTGATGGTGGTGGTGCAATGATCGTTGCATTTCATGCACCCTGGCCACCAACATATGACAGTCAAGTTAGGTTGCAAGCGAACCACATCGTTCCATTCATTCAAATAAATCTTCACTTGTTGTTTCATTGGCTGGTTTTTTTTCGAATCGAATTGAATAGAATATAATAGAATGGATGACTGAATGTCATTTGTCTTATTCTGGGTGTGTATTGGTGATGCAATAACATAATGCTAAACCATAATGATGTTAGTTAGTGTAGCTATCTGATAACAATCTTTTGATGAATATGAAATGTGCTAGATTAGACTTCTAAAAAAATGACAACAGCTGTAACAGGAAAAAAAAAAAAAGAATAGGAAATAAACAGTCACTAAACGAAGTTATAACAAGGGTCATCTTGATCATTTGATCTGCATTAATATATGTGGTCCAGTGTATTCAATAAGAGATTGATCATAAGGGTCATATAATCATGAAAAATACATTACTGACAGTCAGTGTTTCTGTGTGTGTGTGTACGGGTCAACAATTCATTTGAATAAATTTGTTTGTAAATTCGAAAAATTTTTTCATTTCATCACAAATGTTTATATTTTGTTGATGAGAAAAGAATGCCTTCGGTAAAAATGATCGAAAGATTTGCTGTCCACATCCATGATCATCATCATCATCGAGTTTGATTTTAATATTTGATGGCTTAATTGGGCTTAAAAAAACTGTTGGTGACAACCGATATTGAAAATTTTTTGAATTTCTCATCAGTTTCTTTCACGATGAATGCATTCAATTAATGAAAAAAAAATTTGATGCCGATCCTTTTTTTTCAGTTTCATCATTTCGTTACATTTCGATATTTGCAATATAGTCATGCATGACATTCAATTTGAGTTTATATGAAGATTTTTTTTTTGGCCTGCTATATCTTGACGTTTGCATCGTGTGTGGCTATGTTTGGCAAAAGTCAAGAATCAAGGGCTGCAATATCTTTGATATTTTATACACCTTTTTGAGAAAAAAAATGCTTGAATCATGAATTTTGTTGGCAATTTAAAATTTTGGTTTTTTGCCCACAATGTCGTGGTCATGTCCATGTCACGTGTGTCTTTATGTGTGTGTGTGTGTGTTTTCTCATGTTTTTGACCCAGTCTCGTCAATGTCCGGTCACTCGACCGATTTTGTTTTCATTTGTTTTGTTTAGTCTAGTTCATACAATGAAATTTTTGAATCAGTTTGTATTTCCATTAGATAGCTGCATTTGGGGGTTATGACCAAATGCAGCAATCTGGTCTATTTTGTTAGCTTTCATATGTGATTTGAAATTGTCTGGTCAAGCTGACACGTGTTTTCATTATCGATTGTAATCAACTGCAACATGTTCGTTTGGGTTGTATTTTTGTTGTTGTTTAATTCATAAACCCAAAGGATTGAGTAGCAGATGATTTTGACATAATTATTATGATGTTATGTTACCATGGTCATCAATGTGGCAATGTCCATTTGTTTAATTTTATTTCTGTTACATAGATTAGATCCATTTTTTTCTTATTGACATAATATGTCTATAGCCGCCAATACATAGATTCAGATTGAAAGAATGTATTAAAAGTCATTGACTTGCAGATTTCATCCAACAACAAAAAAAAATTATTGGAAAGCAAAGTTAAAAGAAAAATTTAATTGTCGAATTTTCAATAGCTAAATTTACCGCAAAACCAAATTAGACGATTTTTGTTTGATTTTCTTTTACCCAATTTTTTCGTTGATGATTCATTCTTCGGATCATCAATTCTAATGTTTTTGTTTGAATTCATGCATGTTATAACAATATCCTTGTTTGCCGAACATGTGTATCAAAAATGTAACGGCTGTAAATGGATTGTTTTTTCAACTCATGTGAACATTGTCATCGATTGACATAGAAATGAAAGCCATTTTGTATCAATCATCAATGATTTCTTTTTTTTCTCATTTGGTTACCATTTAATATGACCAAATGATTCAGCATTCATAGTATAGTATATAGTATGAAATGATGATGATTATTATATAATAATCCGATTGTTTCTCAGTTGATCCACTTTTTATTACCATCTGTAATCGATTGATAGTTTACCGAATGTACAGTACTTGATATGATAATAATAATAATAATAATTTGATCTATTCGAAAATTTTTCATTTGATTGTTGAAACGAAAAATTTTTTTGTTCATTTTTTTCGAGCATATTATTTTTGTATCAACATCCACAAATACACACAAACATAGATAAATGGATCGACACATAAAACATGTGTCGGCCACAGATGTGTCAGAATCCATCTTTTTTTTGAGGGTTTTTAGTTATTAATGTGTTTGTATATTTTTGTGTAATGCACGCTCCAATATCGACACCTCTATAACACAAATATCACACAAATAAAATGAACACAACAGACACACTTCACAACAGAAAATATTCTATAGCAAAAAAAAATGTTCATAAATTCCTGATGAATCATCAGGCTAAAAAAAAATTTTTAACATTTTCTCTAGGATGACAGAACCGCAACACTGAATCTTGTTTTTTATTTTCTGTTTGTTGTTTGGCATACGTTTTGATCATCATAATCTTAACACATTGTAACAACAACAGAAAATGTTTGCATGAAAGATACTATTCAACCATTCATTCATTCATTGATGCATATACTGCATTTAATGATTGAACCATTTATTATATTTTATCCTCATTGTATTTGCCTCTATATGTTTTCAGGATTGTATTAGATGATGAACATTATCATTTCAAAAACGGGTATCCATTATGATTCATAATACAGTAGCTAGAATCACAATCATTGCTGTCAATAATCGAGATATATTTTTTTTCCTCTGATCCACCGTATAGAAAGTATTCATGACCGATGTTTATTTGTCCATTCTATGTTCACTGCCATATTTCAGAGGTTCAACAAAAATGTTTACAACTTGTGAAAATAAGAATTTTTTTATTTATTTTCCAACTTGTATGGTGCCGGGATTGAGAAGAAAAAATATCTAAATTTGGCCATCATTTTTTGTTGTTGTTGTTGGTTTGTTTTTTTTTTTGACATACTGACATTTCTGACGAATAATTTATTCTTGTGTGATCATCACCATCATCATCATCATTAATTTATATCGACTGACAAGTCAATTTTTTATCCCTCACTATCCCATTAGCAATCATATCTGAAAATGATTGTCCTCTTCAATTAATTAATTTTTGAATTGATTGATTCAATGATTGACATTAGATAATGATCGATTTAATGATGGAATCTATTAAATGTCATCGTTCATTCAATTTTTCAATGAAATTATATGCAAATAACGAATTCATTTGAGGGACTAAATCAACTTTTTTTTGAATTGAAAATGTTAACTCTTAAAATCTTTTTGGGATAGTCTATAAAGTTTTTTTTCACACTTTATTTGTTTGAATTTTTCTCCGTTTTTAATTCATTCACTGTATACAGTTTTTATGAAATGAATTTATTACTAGATGTTGTTGTTTCTGTGTTATGAAATTAAAAGAACAACAACAACAACAACGATGATGATGACAAGTTGATTAATTTTTATGGCCATTGCCATAATTATTATAACTACTATCATTATCATCATCTGCCATGTAATACTACGCCCTGATTTTTTTTTATTCGAATTGGAATTTTATTTTTCATTTGTTGTTTGACATTGATAAAATGAACTTTGGATGGAAAACTTTTTTTTTCCAATTTTGCTGTTGATGCTACTGTTCAATGTTGAATTTACATTTCTTAGATTCGTGATTGTTACAAACATTTTTAAGGCTTCCGTTTCGTTTTCCTCATATTTCATTTTGTTAGTTTGTTGCATAAATATCGCTGAAAAGTTGAATAACATAAAAACAATATATTGAAAAAATCAACGAACCACACGAAAAAAAAGAACATCAACAATCATTGAATCAAGTCTTATTGATGACACGCAATAAGAATGGTTTTGGAGAAATTTTCTTTTGAAAAAAATGGCAGGTGTTTGACGTCATTTCATTAGCATCATGGATTTTTGTTTGGTTTCCTTGTTTTTCTTATTGAACTCTTCTCTCATTTTGTGTAAGTGCGGCCATTTTCATTCCAAACTTCATCCAAGATATTGGATAAAAAAAAGATTGGCGTCTGTCTTTACAATGTCTATTTACTATAGAGATATTCAACTGAAAATAAATGTTGATGAAATATGAAATTCGTTCATCATCATAATCATCATTGCTTATGATGAGTACAAGCATATTCTATTTTTATGGAATTTCACCATTTTCGAAAGGCTTCTTTCATCAACTTGTGAAAGTGAAAAAATGCGATTTTCTTGAAATTGAATACAAATGATAATTAAATCAAACATCAATGAAAAATTGAAAAACCGTATTTGTGTAGTGAAAGTCTACAATAGAAAAAGTATCGAAAGAAACAATATTTTTAGCACATTGAACTCATTGTTCGTAACTGTAGGAAATAAAAAGAAGAATAAAGCCGATTATTATAGCTAATTATAGTTGATCTGTAGCCAATGATGATTAGCTATTATTGATCACGATCACCATAAATATTATATAAATCATCAAACACAGAATTTACTGCGGTTTTCACTTATCATTCAATTCTGAATTGAACGGAAAATTTTACTCTACATTTTCATATATATAGCTGAATAATTACGATCATCAATGATATAATTCTTTTGAAATTGTTGTTATTTTTGGTTGTTGAAATGATTGTAATACATCAAAATTTCTTCATGGTTTTCATTGTAAACCCACACATACACACAGAATATCATGCTTTGTCTAATTAGTTGCCATTCGACTCTACAACTTTTTCTTCTCACACACTATAGATTTTTAACTAATTTAATGTTGTGTGTGTATGTGTTTCACATCCTTGAATTAAAAAAAAAATCCACCGAATATAGAGAATTTATTCGTGTATTTTTCAAGTGTTTTTCTCGCAAACCATATCTCTTGTTTTATATACCTGATTCGTGTGTGTGTATGTGTATTTGTTTGATACCATCAAACACTACATGTGTGTGTGTATTCATGATGATGATTAATGGTCACCGACCTATACAACAAACGGCAGGTGCACATCGAATATATATTATATAATAATAATAATTTAATGTATTGCACTAAAATTATACAATTGAGGATGCCAGACAGTGCACTAGCAAACAGACACACACACAATGATTTTCCTATTTAGGATGATGATGATGAGGATCGATTTTTTTGGGCGCTTCTTTGTTTTTTTATATGTTTTTCGAGTTTTCATTGATTATCAATCTTGACACTATGATATTCGGTGTTTTTGTTGGTTTTCATTTGCCGATCAGTTGGGCTATTGACCTAATGACTCACCAATAATTTTTTTTTTTTCTCGTATTACAGAAATTATTTTTCGAAATCTATTCACCAGAGAATCGATGCGGCTGTTTTTTATTGTTTTCAAATTTGAAATTTTTTCCATCATAGTTTCCATTTGAGACATAAGGCTGATGATGATGATATTTGCTATGAAACAATTGGGAATAAAAAAAACGATACAAAAAAAAGATGAAAACCGGCATGTTGTCCTGTGTTTATTTTTTCTGTTGTCTGTTTTTAATTCTTTGTCGATTCAACACTTTATTTTTAGCAAGTTAAATAATTCAAGCGAATAAATTTTTTTGGTTTTGTTTTTGATGAACGCAAAAATAACTTTTGTCAAAGGACATTTGTTTGTCATTTGGACGACAAATGATTCTTCTTACTTAGAAACAATATAGAAACACATTAGGGCCGAAGTTCAGAATCTTATAGCTAATCTCTTGATTCTGCTACCATAGCTATAAAATAGTGAAAGAGTTTATGATTGTTGAAAAATTGGAGCGGATATCAATGGACAAACATGACTTGATTGAAATTCCTAGGCAACTATTATAGTTGATATGCTTTTCATTTTTGTGTGTGCATGTCATTTTCTGTGTCATTTTCAAGATTTAACGCTTACGATAAATCACACACGCAGCCTTTTGCTTATGACACATTCACACCAAAGTTGGACACATCATCATCATCACTTGTTTGTTTATACGTTTGGAGTTGATGATGAAAGATTATTTTTAGATTGACATTCATTATCATAATTCATAGTCCGAATGAATGAATGAAATCATGGTGATGGTCGACATTGCTATGGATCGAATGACGGTCATAATGATGATGACACAATCCAATTGAATGAATAGATGAATGAAATCATATTGTTCATTAATTTTATTTCTTATGAGTTAAACTAATAAATAGAAAAAAAATTTATTTGAAAGTCTAAACAAATAGATGTACAGTGATTGCTAATCTTTTAGTTTTGATTGCTTTGTTGGTTTGAATTGTAATCAAATGAATGATGAAAATTTACCACCACACATAAACCACAAGCAGCAGCATTCAACATCCAAAACATTCATTTATGATGATCGAGCAGGATCGGCCTCACAACCACGATGGATTTTTTTTCACGTTTATTTATCGTTTTTGGAAACTGGAGTTATTTGTTACAGAAATTTTGCTGGGAAAACACCTATGAATGAATGAATGAATAGGAAAAAAAAATATTGAACGACAACAATAGTGATCATTTTGTATGTTCAGGTGTTCCATTTGGTATTATTTTTTTGTGTTAGCCTCACTTCCGAACTTGGCTGGTTGATTGGTTTTGTGACCATGTGGGCTCGTGCTTGTTTTGTCTGTATGTATATATGTTCATTCAGGCAACGAGGCCCTTATTGACTTTCATGCAGACAAAAGATCAAATAGTCTATTCATTTTTCCAACACCCGGTACTGGTTTTTTGTTTGTTTGTTCTGGTCTTTCATTTTTTTTTCGTCGTTGCTATTATTAAGATGGTACTAGTTCATTTTGTTCTTCTTTTGAATCGGATATTCTCACCTTAACTATGATTACAAATCAAACTTTCTATTCAATCATACGCACATTGGGTTCTCCATTTTGTTTGAGGTTTTATTTTTTTATTTTTTTGAAAAAGTACACCACTTGAAAATTGGAACTTTAAAAATTTAATTTAATCATTCAATAAGCCACGAAGAGTTTTTTCATTTTTTAAAGTGGATGAATGAATAATAACTTAAATAATGAAACTGTTGCATAATATTACATTGTATAAAGCATTGCATTGTAAATGATTTTTATGATTCAATTTTTTTCAATAATTTTGTATTTTTTTTTTTATTATCATTTCATTATAGATTTCACGCATCCATCATCATCGTTTTATTGATATAATTAAATTGAAAATTCCGGAAACCGGATATATTTTTCATTGAATAGAATGCAATGATGCTATAATAATAATGTTTATAATGGATGATGATTCAATAGTTGAAAGTCATCAATCGGGACATTGGCAACGGCGACGACAACGACAATTTCAACAAAAACACCAATCATTATTGGTTCAAAAAAATTGGATTGAAATGTACAAGTATTCAACATTGTTTCATGGCCATTATCGAAGGTTATTATGTTGCCTACTTGTATTGATATTTTTCCTCATCGAAGGAATTCAATCACAACAATTTACGCCTATCGAACAACCAGGCTCACAACAACAAACACCATCGATATCATCATCACAATACCCTTCGGATTTAAAAATTCTGGCCAATAACAATCCTAACATCAACGATATAAATAGTGATCTCATTCTACCCGAACCGTAAGTTTATTCTTTTTTCTGATGATTTTTACAATTTAAATTTTGTCTTATTATTGATTAGATAGATGCCTACTAGCAAAACTTGACAAAATCATTGCATTATTGATTATTCTACTTTTTTCCTAGTGTATTATAGTGAAAAAATGCTCTAATTCTTTTCATTCCATTTAAATGTTTTCTCAATAGTTTTCTATTGCAACTTTGGACCTGTTCTGCTTATTAGCAAAAACATTCACGTTGATTTCATTCAATCATTCTTGTCTTTTTCACCAAAAAAAACTACAGAATATGGCACGTGTTTTGTCTTAATGGTGAATGTGTCAATCAGTCAAAAAAAATTTTTTCCATCTCATTGCTTCACTGTGATTTGTGTTAAGAGCATGTTTCGTATCTTTTATTTTTGGTAGTGATGATGTTCAACCTTTCACGTAATATATTCTAACCTTAACGTTCGTGCCTTATTTTTTTGCCGTTTGTTCCACTTTAATTGGCCCATTTTCAATGTTGTTTGACATTTAAAGAAGGGGAATAACATCTATGATTCATCCATATAACATTGAATTTAGAATTACGATTCTTATTATTTTTATTGCGAATTTGAAATAATAATAATAAAGCGATTTGCTCGAACGCTTTTCATAACCACGATTGTGTGTTTGTGAGTGTTGCAAAAAATAAATTTCAATGCCGCCATTGCCATATTCAAAAAAGACTACTAGACTAGAATTGGTTGAGAGAATGTAACCAAAGAAAAAAAAATTTCCATCCATGTCATTGAACCATTGTCGCGTGCATAATCAATGTTCATTCAGCTTGTATTGTTTGTCTGTATATGTGTAACTGTTCGATGATGAAAGATACAGCTGGGCCATGTGATCCAGAAACAATTATTTTTTTGGCGAGCAAAGCAGGGTGCGTGATTCGCCTATATATTGTGATAATTCTTATGAGGATAGTAATGATGATGATTTTGTTTTTTATATGAAAAAACAAGGATCAAACATTTAAAATCAAACAAAATAAAGAATTACAATAATAGCGATATTAATATTGATTAAATCTATTTTTTGGTTTTTTCAATTGAATCGATGAATGATGCTCATATGATGATGGCTAGATTTCATTTCATACTTGTCCCATTTCAGTTTGTTCATTTATTTTCTGAAATCAAATGATCCTGATGATGATTTTTTTTCTCACCATTACCAGAAATATCAATTTGATTTTTTTTTATCTGAACAAAACATAGTGAAATTACAAATTCCAAATGTGAATACATATAAGATCCGGACTTGCAAAATTCAATGGACTTGATCGAATTCATTGAAAAGCGGGCTCCTATTCAATATAAGCAATGATCCGTATGGTCTTTTTTTGTGATGTATAAAAAATTTTTCCAAGTCTTTAGAAAAAAATTAATGACCTCTGACCGTGTTTCTGTTTGTGTGATTTGAATTTCAAATATTGTGATTTTCGCATTGATCAAAATAATAATAATTGTTTTTTATCCCGTTTCTTTTCAGAACTTATTTCATTGTAGCATCTCGTATTGTACGTCCCGGTCAAGTATATCGTTTACTAGTGACCATTTATCGTAGCGCTTCACCAATCAATGTTCGAGCTTCTTTACAACGTAATGGTATCGAATTATCATCAGCTGTGCAATTATGTAAAGAAAGTATTCCGGAAACATTGCTATTACGAATGCCAACGAATTCTTTACCCGGTACATATAAATTATGGATCGAAGGTAATGTTAATGAATATTTTGGTGGCAATATATTCCATAATGAAACAAAATTGGAATTCGAACAACGTTTTATGACCATATTTATAACGACCGACAAGCCGGTCTATATGCAAGGACAGACAGTACGATTTCGTGCAATGCCCGTCACAACGGATCTGAAATCATTTACCGATGCAATCGATATTTATATGCTTGATCCTCGAGGCACAATCATGAGACGTTGGCTTTCAAGACAAACGAATCTTGGTATGTATTCGTGTCTAGAATTATAATTTTTTGAAATTTTGCTTAGTTTACACCTTTTTTCCCTGATATTACAATTCATAGCGTATATTAGTGATAGTAAACAAACTAATTAAGATATAGAATTATATACCACTGGGAAATAAAAGAGAATTTAGAATTTTGTTTTTGATGAAATTTTCTGCTCAGATCAGCTTTCGACAAATTTCAATTTTCGAAAGAAATTGTTTTTATGTTGCTATAGGCTAAATTTTTCATCAGCTTTTGTTTGATTTCATGCCAATGATTTTTCTCAAATTCTTGTTTTGAACAATGTTATTAATCGATCATCATTAACATCATGGCCAATAAATGTTTTGTTGTTTTGCCTACGTTTCGTCTTATTATTATAATCAGGTGCCGTCAGTCTTGAATATCCACTATCACAGCAGCCGGTCTATGGACAAAATTGGACGATTAAAGTTGTCGCTCAAGGACAGGTGGAAACAAAACATTTTGCTGTTGAAGAATTCTGTATGTACATTTATTTAACTGTGATTACAAAATGACCAATTGTCCTTTTTCTCTTCACTTTTTGATCGATTCGATGCGTTTTTATTTCGATGAAATGAATGAATTTTGATGATGATTATAATTGACGATAGATCAAACTCGTTTCGAAGTAAATGTTTCAATGTCTGCATTCTTCCAAGATACGGACGCCTACATTCGTGGTTCAGTGATGTCCAAGTAAGTATTGTTCGAATTATTGTTGTTCGTTGACCACAATTATGACGGCATAATTCAACTATTTTATCTTTATTTCATATAGTTTTACGAGTGGTGTGCCAATCATCGGTAATTTGACCATTGTATATACATTGCAATTAGCTTCAACTTCCTATTCATTGTCTTCATCAACCATTTATAATAATAATCGAGCTAATATTAATTATTTTGATCGACCTGCCATCGAAACGACCGAACGATATGTATGATCTGATGTATGTTGTTTATTTTATTAATTAATGAAATTTTTTCTACAATTTGAATAGTTTGATGGATATTATGAATTTCGTTTACCAATGTCAGAAATTATCACACAATTAGCGAAAGGTGCACAGGTCGATGGCGCTATGCTTACTGTAACTGCTTATGTTGGTGAACGTTTCCTCAATCTAATCTATTCCGGTTATGCAAAAGCCTATATATTCAATTCTAAAATTCGTCTAAAATTTTTGGGCCCAAATCCACAAACTTTTAAACCACCAATGCCTTTCAAAGCCTATGCAGTATTGTCACATTCGGATGGATCGCCTATACATCGTGATTATCTTTACACCGATCGAATTGAAGTCCATACACGTGTAAATTCAAGAGGAGGAATACTAGGATCCTTCAAAGAAGAAGTGCCAATGTCGAAAAATGAATACGGTCTTTGGGAAATTAAAGTTAATTTACGAAATCTGCTTAACAATGACATGTTAGCTCTTAAAAATGTTGATTCGATATCATTGCAAGCATTTTTCAAAGATGTTTATGGTTCAACGGTTAAATCTCCTGAGTTACGCGTTTTCGCTACCTATGCTCCCAATAATCGTTTAATTCAGATATCAACAAGTACAATGAAACCTAGTGTTGGCCAATATATCATTTTCCATGTACGCACAAATTACTATGTCAACCTGTTCAGTTATTTAGTCATATCAAAGGGAATCATTTTGGTTGCTGGTCGTGAAGAGATGAACTCAATGTTAAAAACATTCACATTTACGGTTTCATCGGAAATGGCGCCAAGCGCTACAATTATCGTATATGATGTTGCACCTGGCGGAGAAGTGATCGCCGATTCATTGACATTCCCTGTTGATGGCATTTCTCGTAACAATTTCACTGTTGCATTGAATAATCGGAAAGATAAAACAGGTGATACGATTGAAGTGGTGGTTTTTGCACAACCTGGCTCATATATTGGTTTATCAGCATTGGATAAAGATCTTTTTGGTATAAATGCTGACAATCAACTTAGTTATGCACATGTTCAACAAAAAATGATCAGTTTTGATGATATTCTACCGTTGAATAATGCATCATTAAGCTATAGCTGGTATTCACGTTACGGAATTCTCGACCGATTTTTATTTCCCATCACCAACATTTGGCATCGATACTAATCAAACATTTGAGGTATATCATTTATAAATGATTCAAAACGAAAATTCTAATGATGATTTTTATAATAGCATGCCGGTCTTATTGTATTCACCGATGGCAATCTAGTACGTCGACCAGAAACTTGTAATCGAACTCGTGGATTACTCACCTGTATGGATGGTGGATGTTATCATTTTTCGAAAAAATGCGATGGTCGTTCGGATTGTCGTGATGGAAGTGACGAAAGCCTTTGTATGTTTGAATTTTTTTTCTCTTTTTGCGATTATATTCGATTTTTTCTCATTAGGTCAAAATAACGACCAATATAATATGGCTCATTTTCGTATGACACGAACGAATCGTTTACAACGTTTATATGACAATAGTTGGCTATGGAAAGATGTTTTTATTGGTCCACTCGGCTATCATATATTCAAAGTTCCAGTACCAAACGCTCCAGTTAATTGGATTATATCCGCATTCGGAATGAGTAAATCACATGGATTCGGTATTCAACGTTCCAAACTGAAGCATTCAAGTGTCCGTCCATTTTATATGAATGTTGAAATGCCTTCGAGTTGTTTGCTTGGAGAACAGATTGGTATTCGTATCAGTATTTTCAATTATCTTCCATATGAAATTGAAGTGGTCGTTATTCTTGCTCGATCTCCCGATTACAAATTCGTTCACGTCGAATCACTTGGTCGAGTGCAATCGTATAATCCACGTACATCGTTCGGACAACATCAACATTTGATCATGATTTATCCTAGTCGAACCAAAGTTGTTTACATGCCCATTGTTGCTACAAGAATCGGTGACATCAATGTTACTGTTATGGCCAAAACACAAGTAGCCAAAGATATTGTTACAAAAACAATTCATGTTGAACCGGATGGAATACCACAAATGACACACACATCGGTTGTTCTTGATTTATCACAAGGTGCCTACCTGATAAAATATCTTGAAACGAATGTCACCGAAAGTCCAATTATACCCTATCGAAAAGAACGACGCTATGTTTTTGGATCAAATCGTGCAAAAGTCACCGTCGTTGGTGATGTTATTGGTCCTGCTTTTCCAACGATACCTATGAATGCTACCTCTATGCTAAGAAAACCATTCGATGCATCCGAACCGTCAATGTTTAGCTTTGCTGTAAACGTATACACATTGCTTTATCTTCGTTACACCGGCCAAAGAAAACCGAACCTCGAGAAAGAAGTTTTCCGATACTTAAACATTGATTATCAACGTCAATTAAGTTACCAGAATTCGGATGGTTCATTCCGAGCTTTTCGATGGCATCAAACACCATCAGTATGGATGACTGCATTCTGTGCTCGTATTTTACACCTTTCAACGTTTCAAGAATGGGAAAATTTCCTTTACATTGATCCCAAAGTAATACAGAATGCTATCGTTTGGTTGTTGAACCAACAGCAAGCAGATGGCTCATTTGTTGAATACCCGATGCAGAGTCCATTAAATCGACGAACCAATATGACTTCAAGCATATCGTTAACTGCTCATGTTTTGATCACATTGGCCGAAGTTCGTGATCTAAGTGGTGAAGTTGATTCAAAAGCTACTAGTGCACGAACTTCAGCGCAACGATTTCTTGAAAGAGCTTTACATGTGGTTAAAGATTATGAAGATCCATATGAACTTGCCATTGTAACCTATGCCTTAACATTGGTCGAATCAGTCGAAGCTGTTGAAGGTTTTAATCATCTTTACTTACGAATGCGTGAAGTTAGCGGTATGCGTTATTGGGGCAAAGAACCTGTAGCTCCTATTCGTACACAGGTAGAAAGTAATCGACCATTTATACTGCCACGTCTTCCAAATAGATTTGACTCCTCAAATGTCGCTACAACTGCTTACGGATTATTAATCCATATCAAGCGTCAAGCATTCATACAGAAAGAAATTGTTGAATGGCTCAATTTTCAACGTTTATATGATTCAGGATGGTCAACAACTGAAGACACAATTGTCGCCCTACAAGCATTGATCGATTATTCAAACAAAGATCGTTTACGTGATGTCACCGATATAACTATAACAGTCGAAGCTCCAACGTCTCATAATTTTTCCTCAATGATACATATAAACGAAGAGAATATCTCGAAAATGCAATCGATCGATATACCAAATGCATTTGGTGCAGTCACAATCAAAGCTCAAGGATCTGGTGTAGCTATCGTACAATTAAATGTGGAATATTGTGTTGATTGGCCACAATTCCAGATTCAACCACCGATTCGATCATTTGATCTAGATGTATCCGCTACATTTACTGGGCGTAATAGTTCACATATTACATTTAAATCTTGTCAACGATGGATACATACACGAGAAAGTCTATCATCTGGTATGGCCGTTCTAGAAGTAACCGTACCTACCGGCTATTTCATACAACAGCAAGATCTGGATAGAATGGTTCGTTCTAACATTCAGAACAAATTGAAAGAAGCACGATATTTCGAACGAAAAGTTGTCTTCTATTTTAATTCTGTAAGTAATCTGAAATTTTTCTAATGAGGCAAGTTCTAATCAAATTTTCTGTTTTCAGCTTGATACAAGTTTTACTTGCGTTTCATTTACGGTACAACGATGGTATCCAGTTGCAAATCTTACACGTTACATTCCTATCCGTGTTTATGATTATTATGCTCCAGGTAAATCATTATTAATATTCAAAACATGTTCTTATTTTTTCTGTCTCTCTCTCTCTCTCTCTACAGAACGTTTCAATGAAACAATGTTCAGTACACAGAATTTATATTATCTAAGCGTCTGTCATGTCTGTGGTTCTTATCAATGTCCATATTGTCCAATTTTCAGCTCTTCACCTTATTGTTCATCACCGAATTTGATTTTATTATTCATATCCATATTGATGGTAATCATCACAATGTTTTATTCATCATCACCATCATCATCAAATATTGTCATTATTTAAAGAAAAATGTCACCATTATAACAAAATAATCTTGTTAAATGAATTGAATTATCGCTTGCTTATCTGTATCTCATTGTTGCTATTGTTGAATATATGTTATGTACGTTTGTATTACGTTAAACATCAGTCATCATATTTTTCATTCATTCATTCGATTTGTTAACTGGCCATTTTTTGGGAGAAAATTTCACTGACGGGCCATAGAACTAAAATGATATTTTCCTCAATTTTTTTTTTGATTTTTATTTATGATAATGAAAAATACACAATAACAAGAAAAATTTTATTCATTTATTCATGTCAAACGCAATATCACATCCCATTGGATTCTATTATCAATGAAATTATAATGACATTATCCGATGAGATTACCTTTGTACATTTCTTATCTGTATTTTTAAATTATATTTTTATTTTAGTTTTTGTCTTACTGCTTCTTATATATTTTCCATACAGCTTCCAATCATTATGAAAAGTTAATGGAATTCGGAGAAAAAAGACTAATGAAATTTTCGATTCACCTTATTCAATAAGGCTTATTGGTAATGTCGATTATCTGAATCTGTATAAATGTGTTTATAATTTTTTCTTGATGTCATCCTAAACATCCTGATTTCTTATTCTTATTCAAAAAATAAAGAATTTTTTTTAAAGAGAAAGAATCGGTTATATTATTAATAGATGGTCATAAGATGTCAGTAACGGTCAATTTTAAATTGTCACTTGTAGTAAATCGTTTATGCCGGACGATTTAGGATCAGTAGTGTCAATGATGATGGTTTTTTTTTTTTTTTTTCCTCATCGAGCATTTTGAAATGATATGAATGGCTAAAAAACTTTTTTCTCTCTATACAGAATAAAACATATTGGCATCAATTTTATGATCCCATTATACACCGTTGATGTTTAAAGTTGATGATGTGAAAATCAATATTTCATTCAAATACAAATCGAATTTATGTAGGAATAATGGTTACTATCTGGTACGGAAAAGATTAAATAAAAAAAACCTCCGATAATGATGATGATGATGATGATGGCAATGAAAATGGACAATGAACAATGCAAAACGTATAAAACAATCAATGAAAACAAATGGTTTATTGAACCGTAAAAAAAATTCCAACAGCGATATCGATAATATACACAAATGCCTATTATTTTGATCTAACTAGTCAAAAGATTTTCTATGAAGAAATCAATGTGTATATTGCAAAATTATTACACAGAGAAATAATAGATTGAATCGATTGAATTTTGATTATTGGTTTTTGTTTTTTATTCTCATGTTCTCATGTTGACTTTTTTTGAAGATTCCATATATTGCTTATACTAATGATTTCTGAAAATGATGATGGTGATGATGATTATGGTTTTAGAAAACCAACATTTGAGAATAAGTTTTAGTTTTTTTTTCTGTACAAACTATGGTGTCAAATGGTCATTTAGATAAATTAGCACAATAGTCAAAGTGTAGAATATTTGTCATTGATATTCAGTCTGTGATGTTTGCTCTATAGTCAGATGACCGATGAATCAACACTGTTTTACCCATATATATAGAGAAAATATTCCTGATGATAGTCAATTTGATGTCTTTCCTGATCGTGTGTGTGTGTGTGTGCTCAACCTTCATTGATCTTTGTTTTTCTTCTGATCAACTATATTTGTATTATTATTTTATTCGTTTTCATTTGTTTTATTGTCATTAAATCATTAAATTAATTAAATAAATATAACACAAAGCAACAATGACTCAGAAACAAAAAAAAACAAGAATCAGTTGATGAAACAAAATGGAAGAAATGAGAAAAAGAAATAAAAACAATCAGTGAAGCGTAATAATTAACGATAGTAATACGGTTTTAGCAACGTTGTTACTATGGAAGCTTTTTTTATTTTAATGGTACGTTTTTTCTGGTTTATGCTTCCAGAAAAAAAAATTCATCAAAAATGAATAATCGCAACTGACCACCAAGTAAAATAAAAGTATCATTATTTTCAATAATGTGATTATACATACAAAATAGTGTTACCAAATTTAATGACAACAATCATATCATAAAAATAATTAGATTGTATGTATGGCCATACCAATACTCTCAATACACTCCATTCACTCTTTTCATTCATATTAGTGGAATATTATAGAATTTTTTTTAGAAATTGAGAATGAGAATAAAATGGCAATGACAAAAAGAATTCTCAAGACCAAAAAAAAAAAAAATTAATAATCATCTTTACGTTGTCATTATAAAAAGTAGGAAAAATAGTGAAACAAAATGTTGAATACTAAAGTTCTGAGTGCAATATTTATACAGTAATACCCCGCTTAACGCGGGGGTTACGTTCCGAAAATTCTGAGCGTTAAGCGAAACAGCGCTAAGCGGGGCTATCTTTACAAAATGCATTTTTACCCTTCATATACAATGTAACAATGTAATGCAATGTAGGGTAATTATACAGCGTTATATCGAATCAGCGCTAAACGGGGCAGCGTTAAGCGGGGTATGAGTGTAGTTCATTATAATCATGATGAACAGTTAAGCCAATTAACATGGGTAATAGGGTTGAAAACAAATTCTTGACGCAAGTTATAAGCCAAAAAAAAAAAGAAAAATAAAACTCGGACCATCAAAGATTTATGAATGATGAAGACAAATGAAAGAAAAAAAAATTTGATCTAACGTGCGTCAGATGTTAAATTTTTTTTTGCTGACGATTTCAAAAAAAGTGAAAAATGAAATTTTAAAAATCTCTTAGTCTGTAAACTTTTCAAACAATTAGCTTCATAAAAAAATGTCGATCATTCTATAATGATTCGATAATTCAAAACAGCCAAAAAGCATAAATTTTTACGCATCATTTATTACGCAAAAAAAAAAAAAATGAAACCATACCAAAAAACAATGAGCTCTGATTAATCGAATGAAAATTTACGGTCGCTATGGTCATTACCAACTAATGATATTGATTTAAAAAATTGGAATCATATGATACCACAATTTTTTGGCAAAAAAAAGCACGTAATAAATTTATCATCGTCGTCGGACACAATGACTTTCTGATTTCTTTTTTATTAATCATTAAACCATTCATATATTTTATTATTTCAAAAGACGTCTTGCTGTAAAGAATTTAATTCACTTTTTATTCATCCATTCTCTATTCAGTTCACATGACTTTTATAAATTCTATTCCTATTTAAGTGTTTGCATTCCTTTTATTTTCATCATCATTGACATCATTCCAAATGAAACAACAAAAAATCCCCGATTACAATAAAAGTGGACAATTTTTGCTCTTTTCAAATAAATGTAAATATTCATCACATGTCCAATTCTTTTGGGATTAACTAATTGAATAGCTCTCTCTTGGTTCAACCGCATTTTCAAACAATTTTTTTGGACTGTAAAGAATGCGTTTGTTTGCATTGCTCACCTTATTTAACTATGAAATTTTTTTTTCAAGCATTTCTTTATCTATCTTCAGTTGATAAATAGCAATAATGATGCTGATGATGATGAAAGAAAATAAGAATAAATAGACTATTATTCTATTGCTACGAATGAACGGAAACAAATAATATAATAACAAAATTAAAATACATTAAAATTCTGTCTGAAAACTCTCAGACTTTCTTATAAAAAAAAGTTCTATACATGTAATATATACTGTATGAAAGATGAAGCTCTATAGGAATTTTTTCTTCTTCACAAATGTTTTCATTCATCGTTTTATCACGCAATGCCAACAATGAACAAAAAAAAAAATGAGAAGAAAATGAAAATTCTACGATTTTTTTTTATTTAGATGATTCTCGAATAGACATAAATGTCAAGTACAATGAACAAAATTACATATACACGAACCGACAGAATCTGAAACTGATAGCATCGAGAAAGAGAAAGCGAGAGAGAGAGAGTGAATTCATTTTATATTAAATCATCATCATTAAATTACAATTTCCATGTGTATGAAGGAAGAAAAAAATAAAAATGAAAATAAAGTTAATTAAATTTAGCATTTGTATTATTATTAAATGAACCATCACTTTGGATTGACATCCTCTTCTATTATCAATACACATACAAAACACGAATGAAAGAAAACGTTTTTTTGGACCAGTCATATTTATAATGGTCCAAGTGACCCTTCAAATTTTGTTATTCAAAACGAAATAAAGTGAACTTTTTTCTTTTTTATGATTTTCAATTACGATAATCATTAGTTAATGAATTCGAGAATGGAATTAAATTCAAGCTTTCAAGCTGCTGTGTGATTCTTAAACAAAATTGAATCGTTGATCGAATTTTATGCAATTTTTCCAGAACAGAAATTCTAATTTTATATCGGAAACGATTTGCAACAAATGAATAAAAAACAATTCCAAACTTAACGTTAACACAAACGCGAAATATTTAAAGTATTTTTCAGTTCTAATATTGAATCAAGTAAACAATACAACCGACGTAATGATCTTTGAAAAGATGATATTCATTTCGATAAACAACAATAAAAACAATACATAATCATCATATACGACAATTGTAGCGTTTTAAATTATTTTCGATGAATGATAATCTCAAGAATATTCGATTTATTCAACAATGAATAGTCAACAATGTACAATAGGTTTTATAAAAAAGTATGTATTTTTGTAAGAAATTTGTTATTTATTATTTCTTTATGAATGTGAATAATGACGGATTCTCTAAAATCTCAGATTTCATTTCTCGAAAAATCAATAGATTCATCGATGGCCAATGTGTTGACAGATTATCATTTCGAATTGATTGATAAAAAATTTCAGTCATTTTTCAATCAAGTCAATCACTATTATTTGATCGATGATTCGATCAATGATACTACCATAAAGGATGAACACTCATGGATAATTTATTATGTTAATAATTGCGTTATTGAACGACCAATCGGATGGATTGATGGAGCAATCAAAATAGAAGATAATAACATTCGAAAGAATTGTTCAAACTCATTGATTATTATGAAATTGAATCGGAAAAATAGACTACAACTGAATGATTTCAGACGATTGAATACAAATTCAGAGAAAGCCTTTCGATTTTGTTTTGATTCTTTCTATGGGGAAAAAATTGAAAAAAAATTCATCATAAATAGCTCATTAAATCCAAGCAAAAATTTTGTTTTAGAAGCTGACGCAAAAATGTACGTCCATGTTGAAACATTAAAGATTTTTGAAAATGATAAAAATGCTCTGCCCATAACGCAACCAGCAACAGTTGAAATACAGTCAGGATGTATTGATTTATTTTTTTCAGCAGATGATTCAATCTATATTTGTCGTTCACAATCCGATCAAGAATTTCGTATCAGGATTGTATCTGAAAATTATCAAATAGATTATGCCACTATTAACAAAGAATTGCTTCATGAAAAAAACGAAACTCGTGCGATGATTGAAAAGAAAAATAGCTTAAAGCCACGCATTTCTTTGTCCAATAAAATAATACGAAGAAACCTTTTTCAATTGGCTGATATGAAACAAACGCTGTCATCATTATTGAAAACAAATTTGATATCAAAAACTAGAAACAACGAATTGACCGAAAAAGAAGCGAAAAAAATATAAAAAATGAACTGGAAACATTTGAAACTGTGAAAAATCATACAGATGAACCTAACAACTATGATGAACAACCATCAAATCAAGAAACACAAATGATAATCCGAAGCAAAGAATCGTCAGAAATTCAACTTGAAACTAACGACGAACAACAGCCAAAAGCTCTAGATCTATTAGAATCAAATGAAGCGCAATCAGAAATGACAAAAATTTTTCAAAATTATTTTCAAAAGACAAAAGCAATACCATTTGATGAAATTGAAAAGTTTATCAAGTTGGATTCGGTTTTAATTGTCAAAAAAATTAAATTAAATAATTTGGCTTCTTCTTCAGCTGTCATTTCATCACAGAAATCCACTATTGCAGATCAAAGTGTGCAATCATTATCAAGTCCGGTGACAGAATCGACACAAACATCACCATCAATAACAGATAGAGAAATATTACGAAAATCGGCCATACATCACATACAGAAATGTATACGATATCTAGAACATGTGGATAATTTCGTAGCAAATAATAAGGCTAATTTTAATGAAGGTATGAGAATTTTCCGGTGAAAAATTCTATAATCTGATTTTTTTGAATTTTACATTCGTAAAACACAGATGCAATCGAAAAAAAATTCAATCGTTTACGAAGACGATTAAATGACAAACTAATGACAACTATCGATCGTGTTGAAGATTATATTCGACCATTGATCGGTGATGACGGCGGCAATACTACCAATATTAATTCTACTAAGCAAAGTGAGCATAATTTTTTTTACGAGTTGGTCGAAAAAATATTCAAACTAATAGCATCCATGGAACATGAATTATTTCGAATGATTTCCAAACAGATAATGACTTGTCTAATGAAAATAAACAACAAATATTTGCTTTGAAACACGCATATATTCATCAAATAATGAATTTATACACAGATCGTACCAACAAAAAAAAATCATTCAACTTTTTTTGAATTTATTAACAGAAATTAGTATGTTTGGGATGTTCAACACTTATTGTGGACAAATGACATACCCAAAAAGATATCATCATTTTTTTTATTGTTGCTGGAAATCAGTTTTTTCATCTTTGAGTCCTTCATTGTGTTATTATTATTTTCTTTTGTTGTCATTTCCATTCAGATTCGTGTCTGTAAGTGTTTTTCTCAAAAAATTTAAATTTCATTCCACTTTATAAAAAATTATCATCGCCATTGTCTCAAGCATCATTTCAAATTGATTTATTCGTTTACATTTATATCCTAATGTAACATTTTTTTTCTTTTCAATCTTAAATACATGCACACACATATAATCAATAGCACTGAAAATTCTTTTGTTTTTCATTCGATATTTTAATGAAAATTGCATTTGCTTATTGCTATTTTGATTATTATGATGTTTTACACATAAAATTTCCTATTTCATGACTGCAATCATCATCAATATAATCATTAAAAATCAATACGATACGAATAATCATCATCATCATCGCCAATATAATCATTATTTGTAATGATACGAAAATGAGAAAACGATTCCTCGGAATTAAAAAAAATTTAATTTGATTCTATTAAAGATCCCTATGACGATAATGAGACTAGAATTCACTTTTCTATTTTCGATTTTAATTTTGACTAAAAGAGAAATTGGAGAAAAAACACATAATAGTAAAATTCCATGATGAGAGATGCTACCGTATAGTGAGGATGAAAGAAATAAAAATCTGATTTCTTTTTCCATGATGATACATTATATTTGTAGATTTTTTTTGTAGTTGATCAGAATTTATCTTCTATTTTGTTTAATCAATAAGATGAAAAAATGTCAAACAATTAGAATTTTTTTTTTATAATGGATAGATTCAATGTTTGTTTTATTCAAGTTTTACCAACTTGGAAACACTTGGAATTAAGTAAGTATTTGAAAATCTACCAAGCATAAACAGTGCAATGTATACTTTGAAAGCGAAAAAAAATTCACGAGAAAAAAAACTGGATTCAAGTTGATGTATGTGGTAAATGTGTTTATGTGCACATCTGTGGTTCATTTAAATGGATTCTTTCATTTCTTTTTCTCAACTAAATGAAAAGAATTTGTATATTTCATACAAAATATTTTTCTGTCTTTTTTTTATTGGTGACCAATTTCAATCGATATCAATACATCCACATTATATCATTTGGGTACTTATGTTTTTCATGAATTTTTCTTGAATTATCTGGGAAATTATTAATGTACATAGAAATTTTTTTTTTACCACAAAATTTCCCATTTGTTTCATATGTTTTGATGTGTGTGTATCGGTGGAAAAAAATGATGAGGCTAATTTTTCAATTCACACACAAAAAGAATTTCGTCTTTCAATTCAATATATGTTTTGTCAATATGTACATGTTCTATAAAGAATCAAATTAATAATATTGGCTTATAAAACAAGCATTTTTTTTCACTACCTTTCATTGCCATTTTTTTCTTGCTGAATCGAGTGAATTATGGTTATTTTGATCTAATAATTTTTTTCTCAAATATCGACCAGATGGTCATAATGTTTAGATTGAATCGATTTCTATTATTGATATTTTTTTTCTCGTCCGTTTTGGGCAATATTTCTGTATCCATTAACCGAATTTTCGTCATTTAAAATCGATCTGATCGAGTGTCGATGGTTACTGGATGAACAATCGATGATGATGATGATCTTAAGTTGCATTTATTGACCATTGCTTTTATTTTTCCATTAATAATTAAAAAGAAACTAACAATTTTTGTTCTGAAATTTGCCAAAATTAGTCCAAAGTGTGATAAATTCTGTGAAATTAATGTTTTAAACGACCATAATTTTTTTCTATTTGAAAAGTTTTGTTCGGTTTGTTCATTCAAAAATAATTTTCTGTGAATTCTATTGAAATTCTGAAATCTTGTAGTGGTGCTATTGGTGACTGAATGATTTGAGGAACTTTCCACCAAATGATTATCCAATATATCAGCCATTGTTAATTGTAAATGAAATAAAGGACAAAAAATATAAAAACTCAAAGCAAAAAATTTTTTTTTTGTTTACTTGTTTGATAAAACATGACTGATAATAATCATTGTGTATGGATGATGAAAATCTGATTCATTCCCAAATTTATTCGAAGGATCGTAAATTTCACCATCATTCCAATCATCGTCATGAGAAAAATCGATTTGATTTTGATGAGAAGGTGGTTGTATCAGCATTTGTCGAAAATAACGATATCCAGATTGTAACCATTTAATCATCTATGATATGATAAAAGATAGAATTTAAATTAACCATGTTTCCAATTCCATTTAACTATGTTTTATAATTAGATTTCTATTCTATCTTTAAGTTTAAGATGTTCATGCACAGTTTTTGTTCATGGTTTATTTTATTTTTTTTTTTTTGGTTGAATAACCTTGAAACGGTATTCAAGTATGATAGGTTCATAAATAAAAAATTAAAACCATAGTCTAGCATCATCTAATCATCTGTATCTGTAACTTTTTCTTCCTGAATTCTTCATTCAAATTTAGATTTAAATGCGTCTAAACATTGAATTATTCATGACATTATAATGAATGTCGAATGAAGAAAATTTTATTTTGAATTAATTTTGTTATTATTATTGGAGAATATATGACAATATATAAAAATTATCACAATCTGAAATAATAATGGCATTTCCTATATATATCTAGTTTATCTGTATTAAATTTCACTAAAAATTGTGAGATAAATTATAAAAACAATAGTTTTAAATTCTAACTAAATTTTGTTAATCAAATTTAATAATTTGATCTAATCATTGCTAAGAACAGGCACGGAAAACGCAATGGCTTCTCGTTGACGCTTTAATAACAAAAAAATTGTGTGAGAAAATAGAAAACCTATGCAACTCATTTAATCATTAGATTCGAACATAGAAAAATCATGGAGTTTTTTTTCGTATTATCAAAGTTACAACCTCAAGGTTACCCATTTTAACTGTAACTGAAAAGTGACAACCAGAAAAAAACCGTTTATAATGAAGTAAGCGACAATATCATTAATCAAAGTGATACTTTCTACATTCAATCTATTCATATACTCTCTCGATTCTTTTCATTTAATATGTGTTTATTGAACTTTTTTCTTTTTTTTGGTTAGCAGCCAAAACTTTTTCAGTGAATGTCCTGTTTTATATTGTAATGCTATTGTTATTGTATAATCAGAGGTAAGGTTAGGTTATGATATAATTTTTTTTTGTCTTGTTATTGATGTATACCATGAATGCATGATTTAAATCTTTCTAATAGCCGGGAAAACTATTCTTTAGGAACTTCCTGAACGAACAACTAAAATGAATGAAAGAGGACGTTCGGTCTTTGTCATTATGTTTGATTTTTTTTTAAATTGAGTTTTATCGTCGTTTTATAATCGTTTTATTTAAACTATTTTCATTACTAATTTGTGTATAGATTATTGGCAATGTCATCAAATATACATCAAGTGTTGAACAATGAATTTAAATTATCTGGAAAGTTTTGAAAATGTTCCAGACACAAGAATTTCAAATTCTTATGTGGAAAAAATTTGTTATTTTAAAAGATACAGTACCATAAATTTAGCCGTAGTGTGTTTATTAAATTGATGTTGAAATTCTCATTATTATTTTTGTCTGTAATCGTTCATGATGAAAAAAATAAGAAATATTTTTCAAGAAAAAAAATTTATCGGCCTATTCGATAATCTTTTCAGGCTATGTGTAATACCTAATGACACCCACTCACGAACATAGAATTTAATCTAATTTTTAAGTTCATCTATTGTTGTTGTTAGCAAGTTTTAGTTCATTACTTACAAACAATTGTTAAAATATTAAATTAATTTAAATTTTTTTCATTGTAATTTTTTAAATGATTACATAAGAACAACATTTGATAATTGTTATGATGTATCAATTTTTTTCAAACTTATCAAATTATAAATGTTTGCAAATGAATGAAAATATTTTTTTTTTGTTGAAATTCTATGAACAATGTACGTATGTAGAATTAAAAAGATGTTTAAGTGATGACGTCATTCATTTCCAATAATTTTGTCTCTATCCACTCGTTGAATTCACCACATAAGCTACTATTTCCTAGAAAAATTCGATTTTTTTTCTTGTTATTCATATAGTTGTTGATTGAAAAGAAAATCATATTGAAAACGAAGTATTTTTCCATCTATAGATAGAAACGAAATTCGATATTATCAACTCTATGTTTATATTCGCACTTAATGTTTAGATGTGTAAACAAACATAAATCTTTTTTTCAAATATCATTCTCGATGGTGATGATAAAAATTGACAACAACAACAACAACAATAGCGTGACATAAAAATAAAATTTAAATCTAAGGAAAAAATAATTCTACTCACTCGAAATCTTGTTGATATTTTGTCATTTTGAATTGATGTTGTTGTTGATGCCATCATCAGACTGAATATTGACTTGCTGATATCATTGAATAGCTTTCATTTCAAGCCCCAAAAAAGTATGAACATTTTCAACAACGAATACGAATCAATTTTGAAACGAAGCCGTTTTTTTGTTGTTTGTTTATTTGTTTTTCAATTTGTTTTGTTTTGTTTAGGATTGAATTCATAAGATGTCAGATACAAAAGTGTAATCATTAGTTGTGTTTTTTTATATTATAATAATAATGAGAAAAAAGTCATTCGATTGATTTTTTTACACCACAATAAACATACCTGATTATTAAGACTAGCAAAGAGTTGTTCATTTGATTTCAGTCGTAGACGATAGTCGGATGGTGATTTGTCTGATATTTTAGTTTGTCTTTTATCATTGTCATCGATGACAATCTTCAAATAAGTTAACAAAGGTCGTGTGGTAGAGCCCTATTCTTTCCCATTTCAAAATAATTAAATCAATATTAAAACGCACATACATTTATTGTGTTTATACCATGATAAATACGGTGAATATTATTATGAATAATGTCGTTGTCTGAAATAAATGATATGTTGACATGTTTATCGGCGATGATGATTTTGATTGTAAATCATAACAATTAATATAACTAGAGCCATCATTATTGTTTTTTTGATAATACTTATTCCAGAATATTAAAATCCTAGATAATATACTTTTATCCTTCATACAAAGTTGATTTTTTCTTATGAAAATCAATATATCGACCAATCTGTATGCCAATAAATGTTGATGTTGTTGCCAGAAAAAATTCCTATCCATTATTGTTTTTGTTGATTCCAATTTTGATATATATTCTTCATGATGATTTATTTCTTGTCCATTGTATGATGTGGAAATTAATGCAAATGCTATTGCACCACGAAGTCCAACATGGACCTAGATTTGAAAAAAATAATGTATATCAAAATGAATATCCTCAGATTAGTAATGAGGATAATGTAGATAAAATTAAATAAAATTTATGACTTTCGATACGTTTTGACGAACAAATCATTTTTTAGGCCTAAAATTTTTTTTCGTCTCACTACGAATATATGACAACAATTGCCGGAATTTATTCTCCTCTTAAACTACTAGAAAAACACAAATTATTTCAAAAAAAAGAGATCACCATTTTTGTTTTCCCATAGAATTTGTTTTTTTCTCAATTCCATATTCTCAAAAGAATTTATATGTAATAAATTTCCCGTTCATCATTTGATGTATGATATAATAATAATAATAATGATAATAATAAAATCAAACATCATTGGTTATGTAGTCAATAGGGAGTAATTTATCCTAGCATCCAATATACTATGAATGTAAGGATACATGAATATTTTACTATGTTTGAACATTTATTTTTCTTGGTAATAACCATATAGTAATTAAAAATAATGTTTCCTATACACTACAATTGAAAAACAGATATTTTGAACATATTATCACATTACATACCAAAAGAATTTGTTCCTTGAATTTTATCCAACGTCTAGCCAATAATTTTGACCATCGACTAATCCAATAATGATTGACAAAAAAAGTCAACATTATGATTGCTATATGGAAATGATGATGATGAAATTGATTATCAATAAATATTATTATTTTTGTTCTGATTAAAAAGGATATATTACAATATTTATGTTATTAATGCTGAATACATGGATATATATATGTCTACCATATGCATTCATTTCATCTAATATTTAATATCCAGAGTAAATGTATATAAATAATTTACCGATAAATCTATAAAAGATGCAGAATATTATCGCATATGAAATGAATATCCAATTCCAATTGTGTTCATTTTGTATGAGAACCATTCCAAGAAATATAAATATTATTTTATCGCAAATGGAACTAAAAATATTACATAAATATGAAAAAAAAATCAGAAAAATGATTGGTTGGTTGTTTTCGATGCATTACATGTTCAATGATTTGGATGTGCGAATAACACATTTTTTATGCATATCATAAGATATTTTTTTTTTTTGAATATTTAGTCAACTTTTTTTATATTTTGCTAAAATAAATCCTTAACAAACAACATATCCGTGGATATAGATGGGAATAAAATGCAATTTATTTTTTTTACCTCAAACTTTCAATCGAACTTTTTATCGTTATTCGAGATCGAGATGATACATTGACCAAAGCGTATTCGGACTGAAACTTTTCCACATACAATCATTCCAAACATGAATATGACCATTATATAATAATGCACAAACAACATAGCAATATTAGCATTTGGAAAAAATTCAATTGAAAAAAGTTTATATAATGTTTATGGAAAAAAAACTTTATATACCAGACCACATGCAATAATGCTCATGACACCTGACCATCCGATTAGTTCGGAAATCATATAAGAACCATATGCCAATATAATCACCAAGATAGGCTCGATTTCTGTATATACGAAAAAAAATTTCGTTGGTATTAATAAATATCAAGAATGGGTTCCGTATAAAACTTTTTTTTGTTGTTATTGACCTTCACTTATTTAAATCAACACTAAGGGTAACATAAAAAATGTCTTGCAAACCTTGATGATTTCCGTTTCTGTTTTTACTGATAGTTTTCGTAAATATTGTCGTAAGGATTCCATGAAATAGACCAATAATAAGGCTACCAAAGCTGACAACAGTGAATTCAATCAATCCGTTTGAAAGTAAGGTAACAATAGAAAATGAACTGGAAGTATTTGAATGAAAAGCGTCTAATAGAATTTTATGTACAACTAAAACGACTGCATCTAATTATAATGATACAAAAAGTGAAAAGTGAACAAAATGACAATGAAAAAATCAAGAAAAATGTACGGATAGAAAATATTCTATTCTGAAAAGTTTTTGTTATACATTCATGTACACGCAAATGATACATACCATTGAGTAATGATTCTCCAAAAACTAAATAATAAAGAGATTTTTCCACTTTGAAATCTTTGAACAAAGCCAACACCTAGTGAAACAAAATAATATGAATATATGAGAGAAAAACTTTTTAGATTCATTGAAAACAACTTGACATAAAACATACACAAACAGGATCAATGGCACTAATCGATGTGGAAAAAATCATCATTTCTAACGCTGATATCGAAGACAAAGTTGCATTGATATGAATGTTCATGACAATATATAATGATGTGCCAATCAAGATGATATTGATCAATGTACCCTATTTTTAGTTACGTTTATTATTCAAATTTTTTCTCTGTAAATAAAATGCTTACCATAATTGCATAGAGTAAAATAGGCAATAGATTTCTATAGAATTGTCGATGATTGAGAGCGAACGCCGATTCTAAAATGATTCTTTATTGTTAATTAAAAAAATGTTTTATGAATTTTGTTCTTATTTTACTTAAAATAGTCTGCTTTTAATCAATATTGTAATTTTTATGATTTTTTTTATACATACGGAGGTAGTAATATATTGAAAAATAATTCAGCAGTAAAAGTAGGCTTCCATTGCTGTGAACGTGTTAAACTATAGAAATATACAGATATAAGAAGATAAAAAAAAATAAAATAAAATCTTATGTGAATGCAGTATATTTCAAACAAAACGATATGTTAAAAGAAGTTAAACAAGAAATTATCATTTTTTTTTGTTTTTTTTTCTATTCAAATTCCTTATTAAATTGAAGCGATATCTTGGTTAACGATGAAAATTTTGTTTCCACAGAGATTGATGAATTGTTGACAGATGTCACATTTAACCTAGATGCCACTGTATTCATATTTGATTACATTCATCACTTTGTGGAGAAAAAAACACTACAATTTAATGAAAAAAAAATTGAAAAAACTGTTTACCGTGAAAAGATGTCTGAGAAAAAATTGAAATATTTATTTTTTTTGTCAAGAATTTCCTAGAATCTTATACAAATTTTATCGCATATTTTCAATCTGTTTGTATCATTTATAAAATTTTCAATATATTCCTTTTTTTGCTTTTAGATTCAATCATTATTATAATGAATATAAACTAAATAATCTCTTTATATGCATTCGATCTGTATTGTAAATAATTAAATAAAACTTCCTATTGAAAACTGAATTAGGTTTGTTCAGATTTTTTTGAAATCATCATGAAATATGAATGCAAACAATCCATTGACATTTTTTACTAATAATTTGAAATGATGATTCAATTTTCAATTTCAAAATTTTCTCTTCATTTATTTTTTATTTCTTTTTGTTGTTTATTCTAGTTAAAATCTTAGATTTCTCAAATTTATTTATTTACAGAATTTTAAAAACAAACAATAGAAAAAAATTGTGATTCTGAATATATATTCTGTTTGAAAAATAATACCAATTTTTTTGGCAAATAAATTTAGATCAAATTTACTAATGGATATGGGCGTTTCTTTGTTACATTTCGAGAAAAATCTTGTTCATTAGATTATACAATTTACCTCAAAAATTGTTCAATGATGCAGCCTGCAACGAAGAAAATACTGAATTCAGTCGATTGAAAAAGAAAAATAGAAAAAACAAATTAAGTTAGATTTTCCACTTTAATAATAAGGTTTGGTTTGTTTTTTTAAAGATGAAATCGTTATTGCTGCTAAAAATAGATGAACACACAAAAAATAATTTGAAATTAACTTTTGGGGTGTTTCCATCTTCTGAAAATGATTCTTATTTTTACGTAAGTCTCGTATTACATAAGTAGAAGAACAAAAAAGAAAATTCTATGACTGGCAAAAGCAAAATAAAAAACCAATCATACCATGGTTCAGGAATCCAACGAGCAATACGATTGGTTTTAAGCTGTTGAAATGTTATTCCGATTATGCAGGCTAATATTAGAAGAATTATGTAACTGATAAGCATATTGTGATCATTATTTGTAGCAGAAGATGATGATTCTCTATTTATTTTTTTGTTTTCTATGATTGATAATGTGGATAAAAATATTTTTTATTTAAATTTTGATGAAAAACTAATGATACAGGTTATGACAGCGAACTTGTTTCACAAATTAAACGAATATATAATAAAAAATAAGAAGAAAAACAGTGTTTAGAATGTGAATGTCGATAAATAACAAAATTTGCCACTAGCCAAAAATATTGCTCAGAAAAAATAAACGAATAAACAAATAGATCGATGACTGTCATAATAGTCATCAATTTATTTGTGGAAAAAAAATTAGATCAACAAATCAGAAATGTACAAACGCAAACACAAATATATAGATAGAAATCAATGAAGAAAAAAAAAATGACCCGATTATTATATGGGTTTCATTTCTCATAAACAAATCACAAAAATATTGTCATAAGAATCATTATGATGAATCATATCGTATTTACAATGTGTACAGAAGTATCATTTATATTCAAACACTATTCTGGTGATTTTTTTTTATATCTATCGATAAAGATGATTTGATTTGATTAATGATGTAACATATACATACAAATAGATGTGTATTTTTTTTCATTCATCAATATTCTTATCAGCCATTTTCAATGTGATGATCAATTCTCATTTTATTATTTCCTATGTATTGAATAATGGTTCATAGTATCGGTTTATACCAAATTCTATTTATTTTATGGCTATAAATTGTTTTTAGTCAACATATTGATAAGAATTTTGGTCATGAAAACATTCAATTTGCTAATTATTCATTCATTTATTCTGATACACAGTTGATTAATATTATTTATGAGCATAGTTTTTTTTTAAATTGTTTATTGATGATCAGGCAAAGTTCAAAAAGTTTCATTGGTGGTTTATTCATTTATAAAATTATATTTTATTTTGTGTTTTAGTTGTAATGGATAGATTTGTTGGAATTTATATGATCAGATTATCATTAAAAAACTTATAAATGAAAAATTCTTTCATTACTCAATTTTTTAATGTATTATTTGCTTGTGAAAAAATTATAACAGTGAAGCCAACTTTTTTTCTATCGCCTTTGGGCTGTTGATGTCTTTGTTGTGGAATTGTATCTGTTTCATCATCTAAGTACAGATCTGTTCTTTGTATTTTTCTTTTTCTTGCCAGAATTAATCAGTTCTAATTTTCTCTTTCAAATTGTTACAAATACAGCATCATCATTACAATAATCAATTACATAAAAATTTGTTTAAAAATAACCGATCATAACTTTGATTTTAATCTAAATTATGCAATGTCCATTTCATCATATAAAATTATTTTGATTCCATTGCATTCTATATGTAAATCTATCTCAGAATTGGTCTTTCCTTTTATAATTGAATATATCTTATTCATAACTATAATAGAAAAGTTAAACTTAATAATGATGATGATGATGATAATCATAAAGTTTGTGTTCTCATCTTCTTTTTCTTGGTCGTATTCTATTCATAATAAGATGCATCGAAAATATGTTACTATGTACAAAGCTTATCATAGAAAAAAATGTATGGGAAAAAAAATCAGTGGTCGACAACCCCGGCAAGCGTGTCAACTTTTTCAACGAGTGCCAATGTAATGCTATGGTGTTTGGCACGCAACTAGCAAATGTTTCTCGACTCCTAGGATTACCATACGTCCGGAATTTCAGCAATCAATTTGTACTGATTGTCTATGGTGACCCTATGATTGAGAAACACTGAGAAAAATGAATTGTCCGGACTTTTTTGAAAAATATGGTAGCCCTACCGACTCCTGGACTAAATGGTAAAAAAATGTTGGTTAGGTTGTTTAAAACGCTTGACATACACTTGTCTGTTGTTTATTTCCGCAGTGTCTATTACTGACTTCTAATGCCTTATTTTTTGTTATAACATACAAATATGTAATAAATGTTCGGGTTGTTTCAGAGAATCTTTTCTTCAATTTCCTAAAAAGTGATCAATCATAAATTGGCTATATTTTTATACAGAAAAAATAGAATAAATATCAGTAAACAAACAAATTGAGTAATCCTTTCTTAGAAAACCACAATTCACTAAATATAACACAAAAAAAACTTGATTACAAACAAACCAGCCAAGCACATAAAGCTATTTTTAGGATTAAACTTATAGTTAGTAAATTAAAAATCTGAAGATAGTAATATTAGTAGATTCAAAATTCGTTCATTATTATCGGACATAGAATTGATTAAATCTTTTTTCTAAACTAGAGTGAAAAAGTCATCTTTGTATATGTTTGTCGATTTGAAATTACATTTTTCATCATTTTTAGTTTATTATTGGTATCAGTGCTATGTGATTGCATTTAGTTTCAATGAACATCTTCGTTGATCACAATCTCATGTGTTAATAATGTTTCTCTCTCTCTCTCTCTTACTGTGTGTCTCTTAATTTTTGTTGACTGGTTATACCAGTGTCAATTCTCTATTAATATATTCTAGTAGACGTTGTATTGAGAACGAAGAATTGGCGTATATGAAAGACGACTTTTTAGAGACAAATGAAAAAAAAAACGCAGAACACAAAGAGAAAACAAAACGGAAACAAAAGTTTTATCAATCGAAAAACAGATACGAATTTTATTACAAAAAAATGGACCATATAAAAAAATACATAATATAGCTATATCGAGTAATCTAACTTTTTTTACCACGTTTTTACATTGACTCAAAAAAAAAAATATTTTTACCCAAAAAGTATTTTTAGATATTTCGGTAATCTAATGCAATAAATCCTTTACTCTGGAAATTGTGATACGAATTTTTAAACATTTGTTTGTTGATGTGATTTTTTATGCTTTCTTCGAAACAATTAAAAATAAAAAGTTTTTTTGTATATAATGAAATGAAATTTTTTTTTTACCGATTTCTCGGCCAATACCATCAAGGACAATAATTATGCATTTCTGTATAACAAGTTTTTTTTGGATTTTGACGTCATCAAAACGAAAATGGATTATAAATGAATAAAAATATAAACAAAGTGGACAAGATAATTGAGGTAATCTTTACAATTTTATCTTGTTTATTCATCAAACTCGTTATCGTTTTTTTTTGTTTGTTTGTTTGTTATTCAGTTGTTTTCCTTGGTAATTTGGTTTAATACTTATTTTTTGTTTGTCATACTATTTTCTATCACAAAACTTATTATTGGAATTTGTAACAATATTCTGTATTTTCAGTGAACAAATTCATTTTCCCTGTTTTATTCACTGTCACTGTTTAGGATTTTTTTCCTGTTTATTTTCTGGCCATAATATAATAGAATAATTGAAAATTGGCCAACAAACAAATGATGGTCATGTATATTAATGCTTCTATCTTCATATCATTCACAGTATATCAAAAAAAAACCTATTTTCTAATTATGATTATTGGTTTATCCATAACCACAAAACTACCATGTACAGTACATAAAACACATTCTATATACTTATATACAATGTGTGCGTATATAAAATGAATGCTTGAATGAATTTTACTACAATAATCCCGATTGGATTAACAGCAAAGAAACCTGACAAGGAAATTGGATATTGCAAGATATTATTATAATCATATTTATATGAAAAAAATTAATTATTCTATTCGAAATAATATTCTTGCTTAATATAAATATATGTGCTCTAATGCAAAAGGCCAAATGACTATTTGTTGATAAAACCGTATATGAATTGATACAAATTCTATGAATAAGATAACTTTTCAATAAATTCCGATTATTGAAATCATTTGAAATAAATAATCCACATTAGACTTATTTAGTAGAATTTAAAAGAATTTTTTTATCGTGAAAAATTACATCAACACGTGTGAGTTAAAAAATGATGACAATTTAAAAAATAACAACAGTCAAGCATACACACATACACTATAAACGCTATCTACACTAATGATTTTTCTCATTTGAAGTGCTAGTGGCTATTTATCATGTTTTACTGAAAGAATGAAACTCATTTCATTCAACATTCTATATTATTTTTTTGGTTATTTCATTCATTTATGAAGGTGTATGTTTTTGAGAAAAAAAAAATTTCCACATTTATGACGGAAGCAAAACCATAAAATATATTGATAATAATATGAGTGTTTTTGTCTGTTTTTTTTTATTTTCTATTGATTCGACCATACATATGCATACATGGTACATGTATCAAACCTACATATTTGTTGGTACAATCACAATGACGATAACAGTATGAAGGAATGTCCTGAATGAAAACGTTTCGCTTTTGTTTTTAGATATGATTTTTCATTTGATCGTCTTCATTTCCGTTCACATTGACAATGATGATAGTTCTTCGTATGAAGTTGATTATATCGATATTACAATCAATTTTTTACGTTTAATATATACTGCCGGCAATTTTCAACACATACAAAAATGACTTAATGCTAAATGTCAGCAATTGTTTTAAAGTTAAGATATTTTATGTTTTGTTGATTAATCTATATTGACTGTGGGCTTCGCATATAGATATCGAAACAAAATCAAGTGTTAATGTAGCATCAATATTTTGGATTCAACCAATCAATGTACGCACATTCATTTTTGAATCAGATATCACCACAAAAATACAGGCTATAGTTTTAGCAGTCGAACAAAAATTGGCGCCGTTTTTCAATGTGGTTGCGCTTGCTCACATGATTTGGGACACAAATTAAACCAGATTTTATCAAGGATATGGTAGAATTTTGGTTTTTGCGTGTGTGTTAAATTCCATCAGTGATGGAATGAAAATGATTCTTTTCATTCATTCGTTTGTTGGACGTCGTCGTACACTGATCATTGTTATAAGTGAGTTTCTCTTCACTCATTATATTCTGAAGGAGAACTTTTTTTCACATTAGTATTTTGACAAAAAAAAATTTGACTCCAACCTATTATGAACTTCAATGTAGAATTTGAATAGAACACAATATAAAAAATTTTCCATTGAACAACATTGTCAACACAAATCCTTGAAACTTAAAACCTGATAACCGAATATCCATATCGTGTTTGTGATTTTTTTCACTATATATATTGTTTGTGTGTGTGTGTGTGATCAATTTTTAGATTAGATTCACGTACGACTACTATGACAACAACAAAACATTCGTTCAAGCAATAATCAATTTTATTAAATCTGAATTCTTTTTTCTTGAAATTTCTTGAATTTTGTTTGTGTGTGTGTTTGTATGTGCATGTATTTCTAAATTCATACACTGTATATTTGTTGACATAAAAAATACGTGTTTGTTGTATCGTGTCATTCAATAATTTTATTCTACGTTTTTTTTAAAAAATCCCAAAATCAATTTGATTCACATGAATAAGCCAAAATCAATCTGATCATCATCATCATCATCATCATCATCATTATTCGTGTATAAAATAAGCATTCAATAATAATTCGATTCTTCAATTGATTATTTCACATTATCATGATGAATGATCAATCATCGAGATTATCATAATGATGATGATGATCATAATGAAGACAATTGCAATAGTCAATAATCAATTTGATTGAATGAAGTGAATATTTATTTTTATTTGCTCTTGTTTTTTCTTACATCCGTTTGTGTGTTCAAACCATAGTAGAATTTGGTATACTTTTCTCATTTCATTCAAATATAATATTCTTCTGTTCTTTTTTTCGTTCATACAAAATGACCGACCACTCATTTATTGATTTTAATATAGAATTGAATGAGAAAAAAAATCATCAATACACCATCATTAGTTTTGTTGGTTGTTTTTTCCTCTTGAATAAATGAATATTCTTTACAACCACAGTTGCTAATGCTGTGGTTGAATAACGACAACATGATAATATATGATGATCAATATTTTGACCATCATTAAAAAACCATTGATAAACGAAGATATATCAAAATGGTATGAATATATTTGCTACAACAACAAACGATTTGAATGAATATGATTATATAATAATGGCTCATTTTTTTACATAATCATCTTCATCATATTTATCATTGTTAAACATAGTGAATCATAATTTTATCATTTTTAAAATTCGGGACATACTTAGCTAGAATTGTACAATTTATAATCCATGTTAAAAGAACTGTGGACCAATTCAAAATATTGAAATGCAATCAAATTTGTTGGGTGCTCAAAAATGTCAACATCGATTGACATTTTCAAATAAATCATCATCATCATCAATGTATGGTCATGTAATTTTATCCGATTTTGATGATGCAAACACTGATAGTGGTGATCATGATTTATATGAAAAAAATTCTATTACTTCGGACGATAATATTAGTGATTATAAAAAACGAAAACGAAGAAGAAAAAAATTAACAAATAAGGAATATTTTAATAATAAAAAATTAATAATTAAATCCAATGACTATCAACATAGTCATTCCGGTCATCTTAATAATCAGGATAAAATAAGTGAGATGCAAAACTTGGAAAAAAATTACTCAACAAATGTTAAATTGCCAGAATTTTTGCGACAAACAAATGACGTAAAACTTAATCAAAATAATAATAGTGACGATGATGTTTTTTTATTCAAATATTTCATGAATCATTTTATGCGATTCATCATTACCATTGTTGCCATTTTTTGTTCTACTGTAAATAATTTAAAATGGAGAACTATAGTTCTGTTTGTCAAATGCATACAACATACAATAAAATATCAAAGTTTTCAAAAATTTTGTTGGACATGGCATCGTTTCTCGCCAACATTCAATGGTCAAAAAATAAAAAATTTTACCATAAACAAGATGAATAACATGATTATATTATTGAATCGTCACGTATTCAGATGGAAAAAGTGCTTTCTGACTTTCACGCCTCCTTTCATCATTAGTGACCATCATTGTCGAAAAAATTTTGCTGCCATTTTAAATTTTCGTATTTTGTTTACATTTTTGGTTATCATTCTTTGTTTATTACCGCCATTGCCGTTTAAAACAACCAGAATGACGACAAAGACAACAATGATGATGACGATTCTGGTACATACATATAACTATGGAATTTCATCAGTTTTTACAGAAAAAATAAATTATCAAAAGCCATCAGAAGCTGTTACTGAAATCATTTCCATGACAACATTCAATTATGATGATGTTAATTTCGATGAAAGTGATAATTTTGTCAGTAAACACAATAATGATCGTCATCATCAATCATCATCGCTTAAGTCGATTACCATCGGTCCGTCATTTATTTATGATGATTATCATCATGATTACCATCATCAACAACGGCTTCTACATCATTCCAAATTAACTAAACAACGACAACAACAGCCAAATTTTATCGACACGACAATAACCAAATTAATCAATAATGATAACGATCCTAATGATGATCAAAATGATATTGATAATCATTTTTTTTGGAATAAGATTGATCAAAATCCAATCAAACGTTCACAAATTCATGATAATCATCCACATCATAATTATCATAAAATTAAAAAACATCAGACACTTTTCAACATGACCACAATGATTAATACTGAGAATGAGGATAAAAAATTTCTCGAAACAATAAAAAATTTCGGCCTAATCAATAATAATGAACCAATACCAAGTCCAATTCCATTCAGTAATGTGTTGGTCAGTATAAATTCACGTGATCAATTTAGCGGAAATTCAATTGATAGTTCAGAAGTTGATTTTAAACAAAATTTTCCTATATTATCATCATCATCATCATCATCATCATTGTTTGAATCATTTCAAAGTAATGAAGATGATGAATCAGTAACAAAACAATGGAAAAAACATAGTAATTTATTTGCTGCTGATGGCAGTAATATATCCGGTGAGAGCAGCAGTAGTAGTAGTAGTGAAGAGATTGAATTTCAACATTCATTAGTGGCAAAAGATCATTTGTTCGATATTATCAACAATAAAGAAATTGATCTACCAAATCAGAATTCAAAATCTCATTTCTATGTTAATGATAGTGATGAATGGAATATTCATCATTTTATAAAAAATGAAGATAATCATTATTATAATGATGCATCATTGATGAAAAGTAATCGTCCACCACGTTATGTATTATCAGGTCATCATCCAAATATAAATATAACATGGCCAGTGAAAAAAGTTGCCGAAGTTCATGGCAATATAACATTAGGTGGCCTGATGATGGTACATGAACGTGAAGATCAAAAAATTTGTGGACCAATCATGCCACAAGGTGGTATACAAGCATTAGAAGCTATGTTACATACAATTGATTATGTCAATTCCCAATCAAATATTCTACCTGGTATTACATTGGGTGCCTACATACTTGATGATTGCGACAAAGATACCTATGGTCTTGAACAATCCATCGATTTTATTAAAGGTAAGTAGTACTATCCTCTTTTTGCATCAATATACTGAATTTTAATCATTATAACATCATGAAACACATCCATAATTTTCATATTTTTCTACAAAAGCAGAGTGTTTATCATAAAAACATTCATTCTTGTTGTTTTGCTACCAAAAAAGAATATGTAATTTTTTCTTTCACGAAAAATGATTAAACATGTGAAAAATGATTTTTTCTTTGTAGATTTGTGCTAAAAAAAACCTTTTTACAAGTTCTATACATCAAAACAAAGACAAGACAGACTATTCGTTTTATATTAAATTATGTATTTGCTCCACATGATTTGATATATGACGTTCATTCTTATACTATCATTGGAATTGTTCAATTCCATTACATGCATTGTTCATTGATGATGATTTTGGACATTATTTACTTATGTATAGCCAAACAAGGGTGACAAATAAAGAGAAGCAGCAATTTACTTTTAACATATTAAAAAAAATTTATAAATATTATACTCGGATATTTTTCTCTTGGTTGCTGAGCATTGATCAAATACGAAGAAGAATAAAAATAAAGTGACATGAAGTATGAGAGAATAGAGAAAAAAATATCAATTCATCTATATCAAATAAATATTTTGTCAGTTGATAAATACCGTTTTTTTTCATTCAATTTCCACCATTTACAAAAACGATGTTCAGAGTTTCGGATCCATCAATATTATTGGGGTAATTTGATCAACAGAAACGAAAATCACGAAAACTTATACATACACATACACACACACATATACTGATGTATACATGAAAACAAATGTGAAAAATGTGTTCTTCCATTCTATTTGATTTCTGTATAACATTGATTGTGAGTAATTGATCATTTTTGGTCCTATTCTCTTTTTATTTTTGCCCGTTTAAACAATATTGATGATCATTTGTTAAAATGTGTTTTGTGTAATTCTCAACATATATGTTGCGATGTACATACGAAACTAATAACAACCATGACAAAATAAAAAGCCTAAGCAAATCTTTAGTTGTATGATCAACACATACACATTGAAAGCTGGCCACATTGACCACAAAGTTTCATTAGATCTGATCAATTATCCTCATCATCATCATCATCAGAATCTGTGGTAATGATAGTATTGGTAATTAAAGAATTCCATTTACTATATATAGATGAAACAAAACAAAGACAAAAGAAAAACGTCAAACGTCAACATGAAACATACGTTTTGTCCATTTTTTCTTAATTCCATTATCTAATTTTTTTTTCTGCTAAGAACATAAAGATTTCTATCTTTAATTTGAGAGATTCGTCATGTTCACCATCAGGATATTGTTCATAATCATTATCTGATTGTATGCGTGTCTCCATGAGTTTATGTACAAACGTAAAAGTTGAAAAAAGTATTTTTTATTTTGAAAATGGATTCATACTTGAACAAACATCAACTGCCATCTTGTTGACCCATTGGGATTCGAGTTTTTCTTTCTTTTCAGAATTTTTTTTTCTATGAAACAATCCAAAAACAGTTTGATTCTATTTCAACCATCTGCCTACTCTTTTAAGGTCTGATGGCCGGTCATCAGAATAATTTAATGTTCTAAAGCTTTTCAATTTTTCAGTTTTTTTTTCTACTTTAAATAAACATCATTCAGTTGTCTACTTTTTATCTTCTTCGTCCTCATCAAAATGGCCATGTCTAGCTAGAATATATTCATTTGGGGATCAGGTTTTTCACTACCTCTACTCAATGGACATATTTAAATGGATATGGAATTTATTTAAACTTGCAAAAAAAAATTCACTGAGAATTCATAATGATTCTAGTCATGATGATAGTAGTAATAATAGTACTATTTAGGCCACAAAAAAGTCCATTAAAATAACTTTTCAATTTCAATATATTTTAATTAATATAATTCAAACATTTTGCATGCTTTTAAATATGATAAATTGACAGTAATTGAATTCCTGTTATGCTACTAATGCTGCCACCTTGTATTGATTGCATGCATAATGACAATTTAAAACATTGATATATTTTCATTTAGCTCACAATAAACGATTAGAAAAAGGTGATTATTTTGCTTTTTGGTTGCTAAAAATGTAATGAAAAAAAAATATTCGAATATTGTTCATAAATACTGATAACTGCTAATCGTAATATCTTATCTTATATTTTAATTATAATTGTAATCATCATAAATTATAAGATAACTTATTACGGTTGGCGGTTATTTTGTTGCTGCTGCTGCTGCCACTACCATTACTACTGATTATGATAATGATAAAACATTTTTTTTTTTTTTTATTTATAATAAATGCATCTTGATTACAATGCTGACCATTTGCCATTTGTTTTATTCTTTTTTTTCACCTTAGTCTATTCATGTGTTTATACGATGAAGCACGTATGAATTAGTGATGCTTTTGATGATCTTATGTCCATTGAAATTAAATTCAGAGCTTATCGAGTTCAAAGAATTTCAAGAATTAATAAGAAACACAACCTCAAAAACTGATGAACGAATTCATTATTATTGAATACATTGTTTTTCCTTGGTTTTAATCATTGTGTTTTTTTTCATTTTTTTCTCGTTTCATTCAACGCAAATTAATTCACGTTCCTCTCTCCCTCTTTTCGTATCTTGTTTGATTATATTATATAATCAAATTAACACTACCAATAACATCAAACAACCGCACATAAGATGATCAAACAAATTCATGATATTAGCATATTTTCTCCGAATATATAAGTAGAATTATCGATGAGAATTATTATGCTGGAAGAAAATTGAAAAAAATAAAGCAACTTTCAGCAATAACAATTGAGAATTTTAGCAACGATAAATTTGAGAGAGATAGAAAAATTTGCTGACTACGATAGTATTGTATTGATGATTTTGTTTAGAAAACCAATGATCCAATTTCGGCCAACGGAATTTTTCGGTTTTTTCTTCTTTTTATGTTTGTTGAATTTGTTCATTCATGGAAGTAGTAAAAATAGAAATAATTCAACATCGAAAGAATCTTACAACAACATCACCATTATCATAGTAATGGTACATAATTAAATCGTTTTTGTATTGTGTCTATGAGAAACATTGTTTTTTTTTATTATTCACACACATACACACACCCATAAATTCAAAGTAGAATAAATTAATCAATATATAATCGATGAATGCCTTAATTATTGAATATTATTCGACTGTTTAATTCTTGTTATTTTTTGCATTTCGATTTGCAGATTGGTAATAATTAAATTATTCTTGCACTTGCTTTATTTACATTCATGAGTCATTATCATCTATTTATTGAAATAATTGTTCTTGTTTCTTTCATTCAAAAGCTTGATAAATTAATCAATTTTAGATAAAAGCAAATTGTTGACTTTATTTATATAGCATGATTATTATCATTACGATGAAGATGATGATGATGATGATGATGATGATAATATTGATTAAAAAAAATGATAAAACCAAGGCAAACAATTTACTAGCAAATTAGATAGACAGTTATTAAACATGAACTTACCCATTCCCACCAAAATTAATTCCAACAATGAATCAATTTGAATATCGTCAGATATTAATAAATATTCATAAATTATTATTTCTATATATTTTATATGGAAAAACACTTCCACTTGAATCGTCACCATACAGGCTTCAACAGTAAAAATTTTATGATTATAATAACTATTATTATCTTATTATGAGATGATAATGACATTCTTGTCTTTTATTTACATTATCATGAATTTTGCCCAAATTATGAACATTTTTCTAAAGGCTTTTCATCTACTTTTCTGGATAGGGAATATATATAAAAAAAATTTGTCTTATCTCTGCCTTCTTTATACTTCATTAATATCAATGAATCACTATAATTATGATAAATTTTTCGTTTATTCATACAAAATTAACGAATCTCAAGAAGAATATGAAATCCAACCAAGTATTTTTCAATAGAGTAATAGTTTCAAAATGATACCCTGAAACATTGTTACGTGATAATTTGATTTATTGATGAAAATCTTATCGGTAAATTTTGATTCTTTCCTGAACTTGAATTTTTTCTCTATTTTTTTTAAAGGTAATTACATTTGATTAAAAATTTTTACCATCTTCGTTTTCCATTCAGACATGATTGATTTCATTTATCCAAGACCGTTTATTGAATTGGATTTGATTCAGAGCCAAAGGATCCAATGTTTTTGATAATGCAATTGTTGATTACAATAATGATAGTCAGCAAGTTTGTCTGGAATAGTGTGTGTATGAAATTGCAAATACTTCAGTATAATGTAAAAGTCGATAGTCATCATCATTATCATCATTGAATGCTTAACGATCAAAATAATAAAAAAGAAAAAGAAGAAAGTGAGAGAATGCATGAAAGAAATTCGGACTTAATTCAGTTTGATTTTATTAAACACGCACATTATCAACGAATTTCAAGCAGAAAAATATAGTCAATTCATTCAGCTTTCATTTAAACAATTACTGACTGTTAATGACAATTTGTTGTGTTGAAAATTTTATTCTTTATTCTATAAGATATCATTCAAATTCTTTTCTCGGTTTACACACACACACACACACACAAAATTCTTGAAATTCTATCAATTTATTCTTCTTGTAAAAATTTATAATGGGAATGAATCAAGATTTTTTTTTATAGTTCAATTTTCAAAACGAGTTTTTACTTTTTTTTGTGTATTTTTTTTTTGTTTTAAATTTTAACTTTTGAATTACAAATAATCATTATCATTATCATTGGTTTGATATGATGGTAGTTGTTGGGCCGAACGGAAAAACGAATGAAAAAAATCTAATTCAATTTGAAATGGTATTTTGTTTCTTCTTTCTATACATCATTACCATTGTTTCGACTTTTTTTCATTTGTTCTCACAAATACACACACACACACACATTATTCTTAATGTGTGTCCATTCGAGTGCAAATTCGTTTTTTCAAGTTTCATTTGGCCATCTCGTATCATCATATTCTTCACGTTTTTAGTGCTTAGTTTTTAGTTCTCCATGTTTTTTTTATAGAATTCAATTTGTAAGAAATTATAGAAAAAAAAACAAAGAAAACAACAAAGTTTTCAAGCCGTTTTTATAACATAATTTTCTTTTTTGTCATTGATCTTATTCGATGTGCTTCATGTGAATGTAATACAATGTAGAAAAATCAATACCAATTTATATTATAGTTGATTGATAGATTTTTTTTGTATGATGATGGCTTCATGTTCATGTGTTTTCCGTTTTTTTTGTTTCTCTCTAAAATCAAAAGTAAAACGAAAAAGTTTTCCTCATTTCTCATTTGACCATTCGTTGATGAGAAATCATTTTTCATTAACAAATTGACTATTGTCGATTTTTTCTTTTAGTATGATAAATCTTGAAATAAACAAGAATTGTAAAGCGGATTTATTACCACAACAACAAGAAAAAAAACTTGGCAAAAATCTGTTAACTTTATAAAATTTGGAAATCAATATCAGATTAATTATTTGTTAATTTGTTTCAGGTTGCACACACACACATACAAACAGTCAATATGAATGATGTGTAGATTTTTTGCTCAAATGATTATCATTAGTTTTTCAAAGAAAAAATTACTTTCAAACTCATTTAATGCATTGATCTTAAATCAGAATGCTTGACACTTGGTGAAGATGAGATAAGAATTGTGAATTTTGGTCGTTTTAAAATAATATATTGATCTTGAACAAGTATTTTCAGAGCTTGTTAATATTGTCAATCATTTATGAATGAATGTTCAAAAAAAAAGAACAATTTCTAAACGGATTAAATGCCGAAAATACTATGATGACAGAAGGCTAGATGATTATCAATTAATAATAGTAGGAAGCAAAAAGTGTGGTGATTTAGAATATAATATATTTTTCGCAACTAATGCCTTCCATGATCATAGACATTTTTGGCATATAATTTATTTTCCTTTATTTCACTCTTCAAAAAAAAGTTTTTTTTCCATTTTATTCTCTTGTGCCTATAGGCATAGTAATTATACATGAACTCACGTTTTGACAAAATGTGTTACTAAGAAAGGAAAGAAAAGTTTTTCCGATTCTCCTAATAATAATAATAATAATAATAATAGTGATGAAAATGAGAAGAGTAAAAAGATCGTTTTTCTCTATTTCCATCCACCATTACATCATCATGATGATGATAATGAGATGTTATTGAACATCCGTTCTATCCATTATGTTACCAATAAAATCAAATGAGATTTCCTTTTTGAGGAAATGAAAAAATAAACTTTAAATGTCTCAACAATGATAATCAAAACAATAGTGATAATGATTATGAATAAACTAGACTTTTATAATTCATATTTATCGGGTTCTTCAAATGATCAAAATAATAAAAGTGACAAAACAAAACTTTTTACTTACATTGTTCTCACATTGGCATTTCCTGATTGTTATATTTTGATGTTTTTCTATTTCATTAATTCCATTTTATAAAATTTCCGTTTATACACACATCCATCATTTTAAGGTTCCATCACCAATCTGGATGATAGTTATAGCTGTTCAGATGGTTCAACACGTTCACAAAAACAAAAACGTATTTGGGGAGTATTGGGAGCTGCATCAAGTGCAACATCAATTCAAGTGGCCAATTTACTACGATTGTTTCGTATACCACAAGTGAGTGAAATCATTTAAATTGGGGTTATTTTTGCCATATTTATTAATAATAAGCACATTTAAAATGCTCTTTCATTCATTCAATCAAAATTTCGTATTTTTTATTATGATTTTTTCATTTCATTTTTTTTTATTATTTTTTCTGTTTGAAATAAAAATCTAGGTGAGCTTCTTTTCAACTAGCTCAGAACTGAGCAATAAACAACGTTTTGAATATTTTCTACGTACAGTGCCAAATGATAAAAGCCAAGCAATGGTTATCGTTGAAATAGTCAAACGTCTCAACTGGTCATATGTGTCAATTATTTATGAAGAATCCATTTATGGAATAAGGGTAAGTGTATTTATAGATTCATAAATATGTATGTGTGCAACAGAAACAGAACCAAATGACTACTACTAAGCTTTTATGTTGTTAACATCTTGTATTGCATTATTTTTTTTTGTTGATTTATGTCTTGTATTTAAACTTCTATTATTTATCGAATAACATGGAATGAAACAAACCAAACTGTATTCCTTGTGAAAGTTTTAAAAGCTGTTTTTTCTCCACTCATGAAGATTTTATAATATGATTTCCACGATAGGCGACAAAGAATTAGTTTCCAGAAAAAAAAACTAGACTGCTAATTTTTCTGAATATACCAAAAGTCAAATGAAACCTTATATTGATCAATCGAATTATGTTGTTTTGTTTTTTTTTTCTATATTATTTTGGATCGAATCTATCTGTACAATAATAATGAACCTTAATATGTTAGCGTATGTAAGTGTTAAAAAAAAAAGAATTTTCATTTTCAAGCTGTTGCTGTTGCTGCTAAGAATAGAATGAGAAAAAAAAGTTCTTTCTATTTATTGTAAGTAGGTTTATGCTTACTCAGCAACATCACAGCACATCAAAATTGATCACAATTCAATAATCAAATGATAATCAACGTTTATTTTTCACATTGAAATAATATGTAAAGAAAAGAATGAGAAAAAATTTTATCAAAAAACGGATATTGATGTCAATAGAGATAAATAAATGAGAAAATAATTGTTGTCGTTCTTTGTCTTTGGAAGTGAAATTAATTTTTTTTTTCATTTATGCAATGGCAATTTATTTTTCTATATCTTATGTTGTCATAAATTTTTTTGGATATTTTAATTTCTTAGAAATTTCCATATGAAGTCGACTTGAATTTTTTTTTGAATGCAGAACGGCAATAAAAAATCCAATTTTTCATTTTTCTCCAAAAAAATTCATGATGCTAATTTTAATCTCCATTTTTTTTTTTTTTTTTTGGTTATCATGATTTTTATGAAGGCATTCAACGATCTCGAAGAGCTTCTTGAACAAACAGACATTTGTATTGCCATCAAAGAACGTTTGACCAAAGATTCTGGTATCGCAGCCAATAGTTCTTATGACAACATTGTTCGTAAATTGGGGACTAAACCTAATTCAAAAGGTGAGTAAATTTTTTCTGATGTTATGTTCACTGTATTAGTTGTATTGTGTGAATTGATTGAATTTTTTCCAGCTTACATATCTATTTCTGTTTTCATTAGAATTTTGATTCATTCTAAAATCAATATTGGAAAAATCTAACTACATTATCCTTGTATTCTTGTCTAGTGACTGAATAAATTAATGAATAATGGGAAAAAACTTTCCAAACAAATACAAAGATAGAAAGATTTAAAATGTTAAAAAAATATTTGATAAAAAACGGATTTTTTTCATAGCCACAAATTATTATAACAATGTGTATATGAAATGTTGAAATTTTTTTTTGTTGTATATCCTTATTGCCATTTCTGACAAAGTGGAAAAAATATGTTTTTCGTCAATACTACAAAACAAGCTATGGATATTTTCCCATAGAAATATTATCGATAATCAAGAATTTTTCGGAATTCATTTTTCTTTAATCTCAAAGTGATTGTGTGTATGTGTGTGTGTGTGTTTGTATGTTGATGTTCATTATGTGAGCACATTTCCTGATTTCATTTCGTAACAAGTGCATGGGTTCCATTCTCTTTTGTTGTTTATAATTTTTTACTCACTTTCTCATTCTTTTTCTCTTTTCTCTATTTTTAGCTTTATTTTTGTTAATAATAATGTTTTTTCCGTTTGTCGATTGATGGAAAACTTCTGTTTTCCGTTTTGTTTTTCCGTTTGTTCATATTTCATATTTGTTATTTGTGTATCTGTGTAAAAACCATGCATAGTATTTTTGTCATTGATGATAACCTGATCAACCGTTTATAGATGAAAATTTTGATTTTTTGTTGATGAGAATGATTATAGAATAGAGATATGTGTTAAAGTGAATGAAATAAAATAAGACTAAAATGATTCTTCGATCGGACAAACTAACAATATTTCAATATTTATTATTCATTGGAAATTTTCTTCTTTTTTTTGCTGACAAATCGATAAATTGGCCATCTTTTTTAGGAATAAAATGATAAAAAATAGCTGATATACCTATTTTGAATCAAATTATTCTGTTATGTCTTGTTTCAATAAACTTGGTCAAGTTTTTTTCTTCTATTGATGATAATAAGACAGACAACAAGCCATATATGTGTTTTTATGTGCATGAAAAATTGGTCCAAACTTCTCAGAAAAGAGTTTGGATCAAAAAAAAAAGTTTGTCCAAAAGAACAACCTATACCGATTGGTTAGATGTCATTGATGATGATGATAATGATTATCGTTCATTGTTCATCAAGTTGCCCGAGGAACAAAACTGTTTTTTTTGCTTCACCTCTTCAATGGTTTGTTTTCATCTGTTTTTTTTTTTGCATTTGGCCTTTTGAAAATGAAAGAACAACCTATACCGAGAGTTAGAATTGAAAAATGATTTTTGTTCATTTCATTTATTATCATTTGACATGATGATATACATTTACATCGCCTGAAGAGCTAGAAGAAAAAAAAATCATCTTATTCACGATAATTAACTTTAATGATAGTCCAAATGATGACAAATACAAAAATAAAATTCCCTAGACTAAGTGCAAAATTTTGTCATCATTTCATTTTTTTTTTTTTTGATTGTTTGTAGTGTTCTATTTTGATAATTTGGTAACACAATATGACGAGGAAAAAAAAAAAAAATGTCATTCTGTATAATGAAAGAATTATAATTTTTTTGACTTTTATGTTTTTTACGTAATTTGATATGTTGGAATTTATAAACAAAGTTAATTTTTTTATCATAAATTTGATTGATTTTTAGGAATTTGAAATTATCCATTCATTTATTACAACAACTTATAATTTGATTAATTGATGTTGATAATAAGAATTAATAGCCAACCTCCTAATGATGTACAAGCAGTAAATATCCATTAGATGGTGATAATATTCTTTATTAGTGTTTCCTTCATACTTGTCTATGAGTGATAAATGGCATATAAAATCAACTTATGGTGACATGATAAACCAAGGAGCTAAAAAACTGATTAATATTTAATTGTTATGGGGTCATTTTTCATTCCTTTCATTCCATAATATTATTGCAATATATTTGATTTGGTTCGTTCATTTTTATTTTATTGTTTATTTTTCCATTCAACCATAAAGGAGTGATTGTATTTGGATCTGATCAAGAGGTGGCAATGCTAATGCAAGCAGTTAAACGTAACAATGCTACCGGTCAATTCTATTGGATCGGTTCGGATGGTTGGAGTGCAAGAAAATTAGTATACGATGGTAATGAACATCAAGTTGAAGGAACAATTTCCGTACAACCAATGGCAAGTCCTGTTCCCGGTTTTTATGATTATTTTTTCTCATTAACACCACAAAATAATCATCGTAATCCATGGTTCATTGAATATTGGGAACATACATTTAAATGTAAATGGCCAAATAGTGATTATACTCCATATAATTTGGAATTTGAAAAGTAAGATATTTTTTTACAATTATTATCTATTTTTTTAAATCAAAATTGCATGCTTGTCACTAGTTTTAATTAGTTTCATATCAAAGTGAAATACTTATTGTCATTGTTTAATTTTTTTCAAAAGAATTTTTCATGACAATTTTTTTTAGAAAAAAAAATGTAGAAAATTAACTCAGTTTCTTTTTTTGTTCATTTAACAAAAAAATGATGAATACAATCAAATTATCAAAACTTACATCCATATTTATTTTCCATTTACCTATTTTCAATATGAATATCATCATTTGATTGAACATTTGTAATAGAAATTGTACGGGTAATGAACGAACAATGTCAGCTGACAAAGAAAGCGATGATGATGTTGAAATGCAATTACAATTTGTTAGTGATGCTGTACTTTCATTCGCTTATGCTATACAATCAATGCAGCGAGAATTATGTTCCGGTACACGCGGTGTTTGTCCACGAATGTTGGCCGCTGATGGTAGCCAATTATTGCAACATTTACGTGCTGTTCAATTCAAAGGTGAGTGAAAAGAAACCATTTTTTTTTTGTTTAATCAATCAAACTAAATCCCTACACATTATTATTATGCTAATTATTATTGAAACAGACTATTGTACACTATTTTTCGTATAAGTTTTTTTTATCAAGTTCAATTTTTTAAATTTTACTTGTCCAAAATTCACTATTTTTTAGACCTTGAAAAATGATCGATAAATTTTTTTTTTTGGTATACAAATGTAAATGAGATTTATTTTTCAAAAAAATTCTTGTAAACATACAAGTAACACGATGGCCATAATGATATTTTCGTTTTACATAATAACGATCTATTGTTGATAGTCCAAAGAAAAAATTGGCTCATTGACATAAATCTGAGCAATATCTGGTAAAAATCGATACAAGATCGATATAAAAGTGAAACAACAGAGTGGGAGATTTATTTTATCGGCATGTTTGTTCTTATTGTAACATGTCATACATGTCGTTATTTTCAAACAAATAGGATTGGATCGTTAACAATGACATTAAGATGCTTAAGCTATTTACATCTATCTATCTATCATCGTCATCATTCTCCACAAGGTTTCAAGTATCCATGCTTTTGTTTTAGTGAAAAAATTTGCCTCATTATTTGACGAATAAATGAAAATTTGGAAATATGAAAAAAGTATAAATTTCAATCACAATATTTGACTTATTCTATCGTTTTTTTTGAAATTGTCTAAATTGATTTCCCTTTTTGATGACAGAAAAAAATCATCCAATTTATTGCGATGTGTATCAAATCATTACAGACACAAAGAATTGTATTCAATATATTCAAAAAGTTCTTTTTGTAACTTGATGATCGGTGAAAAAAAAATCAAAGTTAAAGTGAAAACTTCCTCTATTACTTTTCATATCAAAAAAAATTTGCTAAAAAGGAAATAATGAAAAAAAAGTGAAAATCAAACTATTCTCTTGTCATCATGATTTATATTGCCGGATATGATTATTTATTGTTGAACATTATTATCATAATGTAAATATTAGTTTCATTCGTTTAAGCGGCAGTAAAAACGCAATGCTCATCATCATCGGGTATATGAAAATGATGATGATATTGAAATTTGATATGAAATCTATAGAATAAAAATTTACTTTTCGATTTCTTGAGAAAAAAACACTTCAAACAGAAGAACAAATTCTATTTGTTCATATTCACGAATTTTGTTTCCTTTCTTATTGTTTCGTTAGTGTTGTTCTTTTGATGGCTCTTTTCAATGTTATATTTCAATTTCAATATACTTTATATAAAACGCTTAAAATTGAATCACATCACAATATATCGTTTTGTTCTTGGCAACCACATCTGAGATTCGATCGATTTTATAGTGCAATAGAAAAACTTCGAAACAAAAACACATTCACCCACTGAAGATAGATGTATGAATGTTAATCTAGGATTAAATCTTCAGGTTTTTATTCCATTTTTGTTGTTGTTCAATTGTTTTCTTTCCATTATAAATGCTGAAGAGTTTTTCAACCACAACTTGCATTCGCATAAATTTTATTTCATTTTTTTTTCTTCGAATCATCTCTTCAATTTTTTTTGTTGTTGTAAATTTCAAAAAATTTTTGAAATTCTGTAATTTTAACCACTATACATTGGTTAGTATTGATGAAATTTCTATTGCCATTTTGTCTGAACAAATCAACCACCACCAAAATCATTCAGTTTAGCTTGCTAATAATTGAGAATTCATTTTCAAATAAAACACAAACACTAAAGACTTAGATTATATTGAATTGAATGACGATAGTTTTTCTAACACCAAAAGCAAAAAAAAAAAAAAATAGAAGGATTTCACAATACGAACATATTGAAAGAATAAAAATCTTACTCTGCTCTTGTTTCATTGTGGCCCATTTCAATCACAGAGTCGTTAATCTTTTTTCTCTTCATTCTCATTCCATTTCAATCATTCTTTTGTTCAATTTATTCTATTCATTCATTCAATATTAATACAGTAATACCCCGCTTAACGCGGGGGTTACGTTCCAAAAATTCTGAGCGTTAAGCGAAACATCGCTAAGCGGGGCTATCTTTACATAATGCATTTTTACCCTTCATATACAATGTAACAATGTAATGCAATGTAGGGTAATTGTACAGCGTTATATCGAATCAGCGCTAAACGGGGCAGCGTTAAGCGGGGTATTGCTGTACTACTATAGTGAATGATGTGCACAGTCAAAAAAAAAATACAAGATTTTTCTATTAGTGTTTTTTCTCTTCTCCATATCATCTTGATGGATTCTTTTTTAAATTTCAAGAATAAAGTTGATGAAGATCATAATGATGTTGAGTGAAATGATTGAATGAAAATAGTGTATGTGGTTTTATCATATGTTTTCTTTTTTTCTGTCTCAAGCTCTTATCGATGAAAACAAAAAGATGATTATAATGCTGATGATGATCCTTTGATTCATTCATTTTTAGATAGAATTTAACTTTCTTATGGTTACGATGTTTGTACAAAATTAAATCCACGCAATGATGAGGATCATTATTCTTATTATTATTGTCATAACATTTTTGATTTCAATTTTTTTTCTTTTGTTTGTCATGATGATTAAATGGAATTTGTTTTATCGTTGTCAAAAATGTCCCAACATCATCATATAATCAATATAATGATCAAGAAAAGCTAATGATTATTATAGTTTATTTGCTTGTTTGTAGATCATTAAATTCTTGATTTTTATATCTCAAAAATAAAAAATAATGATTTTTTTTAGTAATCATCAATTTCATCATCAATTCGCTTCTTCTATCTGTGTGTGTGTGTGTGTTCCAAATTTCACAAATCACCTATATGAAATTTCAATCTCTTGAATCAGTAGAGCTTAATTTAATGGATAAAATCATTAAAATTGTTTCTATAGCTTCATCGTTGTCAGAAAAGATGAATGAAAAAAATCCAATATTTAAAATTTAAGATATTTTTCCTATTTTTTTTTTTTTTGTAATGTTTATTCCTTTTGTCACTTAATTAAATAGAATCTAGATTCAAGAAAAAATATTGACGTTTGTTTGTTTCTAATTGAAAATTTCTTTGCTTCAGTTCATCTTTCGATTCTTGATTCCATAATGTAAGAAAGACTTTTTTTTTGGTTTTTTTCAACACCATTATCGTTCTTGGATGAATAATTTTTAACTTGTTTTTATTTTGTTCACCACAATCTCATCAATACAAAAAAAAAATATACAGCGGCATCTGTTGACAATTAGGAATTCCTATTTTATTAGCTATCAAATCGAAATCTGTTTATTTTGCTCATTTTTTTTAATGATTACATTTTCTTGGATGAATTAAATTTTCTGTTTATATTTCTTGGTGCAATGTTTCTCTCTCTCTCTCTCTCTCTCTCTCTGTCTCTAAACATTTTGGCCATTGTCAAAACAAATTTCAATCCATTCTTATTTCCTTCATCGACACTAATCATCATCATCATCATCATCATCATAGTCGAATCTATCAAGTGTATGTATTGTTTGAGAATTTACCATCCATAAAAACATTCTTTCCAACGATCACAAGTCACGTTCTATTTGATTAGATGTGAAAGTGAGTGTGTGCTTCTTTTCTCTTCAATTTTTTAATGGCCTGGTGTGTACATGCTATATGGTATTTTTTCCCTAAACTCAGAATCTGGTCTTCTAGTATCATTATCTGGTTATTTATTTGTTTGATCACGGTTAAAAACATACACACACACACGCAGAAATACATAAAAATCCCCCTTATGATCCAAAATTTGTAGATCTATACTCTTTATCTGGAAGTTTTCTCATGGTACCATTATTTTTTTTCACTTCATTATTATTATTATTACTAGTAGTATTATTTTCAATCTTTTGTATGATTTTTTTTTTTTTTTTTTTTTTGATATTGAATCCAAGATTTTCATTGAATAAAGTCAAATAGCCAAATATTGAATCACACTTTTAGTCATTTTTGTAGTCACATGGCTTTGTTTTTTTGTGGGCTTATTCATATTTCCCTTCACATCTAAAAAAAAAAAAAAAAAATTCAAGAACATTATTGATTTATAGATCAATAATAATTTTTTTATTGTTCGATTGCCTTCACTTATCAAATATAGGTTATTGTTTTTTCTTTGTATGGTCGAATCTTTGTTTTGATAAAAAAAAATTATTTTAATGTATTCATGTTGTTGCCCTTGTTCTGGTTAGTTTTTGATTTTGTTCTAAAATCAAAAACTATAAGCAATAATAATCATAATTTCATGGATGACTTGAACAGACCATTTTTGATGATGATGGCGATGATGATAATGTTATTGTCATACAGAAGTTATTCGTTTCCATTAATGAATGAAATTTGCATTGAAAAAAAAAATTTGATTTGCTAATATTATGAGAATCAAATAACATCTTTTTTTTTACTATACTTTCATTGTTTTAACTTCAAACTGAATAATAAAAATATATAGGAATGACTGGTCATGAATTTCATTTTGCTGAAAATGGTGATGGTCCTGGCCGTTATCGTATTATTCATTTTAAACAAGTTGATAAGAATAAATTCGATTGGATACAAGTGGGCGAATATGTTGATGGCAATCTAAATATAAATTTAAGTAAAGTACAATTTCGTCTATCGGATCCTGATCCCCCAATATCTGTTTGTAGTCAACCATGCGACAAAGGTCAAGCAAAATCATTTCTTGAAGGAGAAAAATGCTGTTTTCATTGTATCAATTGCACAAAATATCAAATATTAGTATCTGAAACACAATGTATCGATTGTCCATCCGGTTTCTTACCCGATTCCGAACAAATCGAATGTATTGCCATACCGGGTAAGTTTTTCTTCTTTTTATATTTTGATTTCTTTTTTCATTTTATATTTTTACATTTTATTTATTATTATATTCATTTTTTCTTCATTTACATTTTGATGGATGACATCTAATTTGACAACAAAAACCAATTTGTTCAATTATATGCAGAGGAATATATGCGACCCGATAGTTCATGGTCTGTTGGAGCCTTAGTGTTCGCATGTATCGGCATTGTATTCACAATATTTGTCATTATAATTTTTATCCGTTATAATGATACACCTGTTGTTCGTGCATCTGGGCGTGAATTATGTTATGTGCTACTTATCGGAATTCTTATTTGTTATTCTATGACATTATTCTTGGTACAAAAACCAACCATTTTTATTTGTGGTGCACAAAAGGCTGGCATCGGTCTTTGTTTTTCTGTCGTATATTCTGCCATATTGACCAAAACGAATCGTATTTCCCGTATATTCAAGGCCGGAAAACGTTCAGCACGTCGCCCTTCATTTATTAGTCCTAAATCACAATTATTAATCTGTGGTGGTTTCATTATGATTCAGTGTTTTATCATTGCAATTTGGTTTGCATTTTCCCCACCAAAAGTGATTTATTATCATCCAACACGAGAGGACAATAAACTCATCTGTCAAGCATCCATCAATGCTGGCTATTTTGTTGCATTCATGTACCCGATATTTTTAATTGGTTCGTATTGATCATTTTTATACTATTTATCATTCATATTCTTTATAAAAACTATGAAAAATAAAACATAAGTAATGCATTAACACTAAGCTAATAAGAATATAACAAGCAAACAAATAAAATAATAACATTCCTATTATTATTACATTGCACTAGGCCGATTTATTTTTTTCTTTCAATTCATTTTTTTTAGGAATTACAGAATTGGTTTTTGAGTTGGAAATATTGATCCTTATAATTGAGTCACGACAAAGATAGAAAAAAATTTCTATTTAGCCGATTTAATTGTTTTTTTTTGTGCAATTTCATATTTCTCTTTCACATATTATAAGGGTTCAGATATTATTTGTTTTTTATTGATGTATTTTTGGTCTCTTTCCATTACTTGACGCATGTATATTGGCAGGATTTATGTAGACGACTTATAAAAAAAAAAAAATCTTGTCACTACTACTAATCTAAAACAAACAGTAATCATTCATCTATTCATTCACCTATTGAAGCTATTGAAGCTTCAAAAAAAAAGAAAAAACACCGTAAATCATAAAAAAAAGAATTGACATCAAAAGTAATGACGATTCTTTAGTGCAAATATTTCATTTCAAAAGATTGTGTAAGTAGGTTTTCTTGTCAATTTTAAATTTCGTTTTCATCAATAAATGTTATTTCCCTATATTTGCTTGATCATCGATGTTGATAAAATTCTTGCATCAGGAATTTATTGAATGTGTAAACAAACCATTGAAGATCAAACTTAAAATACAAACAAGTTTTTACATTTTTTTCTCTGTCTTTAATTCTAAAAATCCTAACAAGAAAAATAACTCGACTTTTATAAAGATGTTATGGCAATTTTCGTTTTATTTTATTCAATTTTTTCATTGTCAGTACTAATGAGTCACGTAATCGACAAAGCTTTATGTTTGTATGTGTTTGTGTTTGTGTGTTTGTGTGTGTGTGGAAAAACAAATCTCTTCCTAATTTACGGTCAACGTTTGTATTTATATTGCCGTTATAACACCGAAACAATCACAGTATTTGTACTGATTTTTCTTTCTTATTTTGTGATTCTTTTTTCGTTTGATTTTATCGTCGAATTTCATCTATACTTTTGTATATAGAATATTTTCACATAAAACAGTAAAGAATATAAGAAGTAAGAAGTATTAAGTCAATGCCAAAGTTGATTATAGAAAGCTTTATGAGTGTGTAAGCTGTGTATGTGTATGTGTGTATGTTTGTTTTGTAATACAAAATAAAGAAAGAAATCAAATTCACTATTAGTGATAATAATGATCTACCGAAGTTTTTTGAATGAATATGTGTATTTACAGTATACATGGTTATGAGTAATAATGAAAACATGTCAAAGAAAAAAAACATGGTTAGGTTAACCTAACCTAACCTAACCAAGCCATTATTTTTTATTTTGTCATACATATGAAATCTGAAAATTTTGTTCAGACACAATGGAAGGAAAAAAGCTTTTGACGGCATCATTTTTTTCCTAATCCATTGAATGATGTGATGATTATATTATTTTATTTTTTATTTTGTCATCTCTGAAAATTTTTTGCCAATAGCTTTTGCATCATTTTTTCCAGAATTCCATACAAAAAATGTGATGATTATCCATTATTATGTTTTTGCCTATATGTTTTCTCCAGAATTTGTGCAAAAAAAAATTATTTTCCATTATTATGACAGCAAAATGACCTAATTATCAATACATACTAATATGACAGACCAATCCATTGTGTAAAAAAAAAAAATGAAAATGAAAAATCTCTATTTTTTTGTTTGTTTGTTTGAATAAATAGATTACTGGTTACAAGAATGAGCCAAAAAAAACATATTGTTTTTGTTATCACAAAGCTGAGTACCAAACGTATGTCAATTTTGTTGTTTGAGTTATTTTAGCTCTAATTATCACTCTCACTGACAACAACAACAACAACAACAATGAAAGATTATGAATTTGATGTAAATAAATTATATTTATGTTTTGCGTAACAAATAATAAATCAAATGAAAATCATCATTTGAACAGAAATGATGATGATGATTGCATATGGAATGATAATCTTTTTTTTACAATTTTTATGCTGTTCATTCCGCAAAATGAAACGGAAATAGAAGAATCAAAAATATTAAAAATGAAAATACAAATAATATGCAAAACGAAAAAAAAATCTGCTCATCTAAAATCTGTGAAAAGAACCGTTAATGTGTTATCACGAAATACAAGACACATCATCATTTTTCTTTCTTTTTTCATTGGTTGATATATTTGATTTTTTTTTTGAACGAGTTTTTGTCAATCAGAATATTTTTGAATAATGACAATAGAGTTTATTTGAATTGAATCAAATAAAATGAAAATGAAATATGCGAATTTATGCATGAAAGAGAATGGAATAGAATTCTCATTTATTCAATCATTTACCGTAATACGTTGTTTTTTTTCAATGCATCATCATTCTTTTTTTCTAATATTGAAATTTTCAATTTTCAATTTTCATTCAAGCCATTCACATACAATTCATTTGAAATGATTTTTTTTTTGACATTTCAGTGTGTTATTTCATTTTTTCGTTTTTATTTATGCTGTACAACTGTATAACTGTTGAAAACATTGGCTATATTGAATAAACTTGCACACACACACATTGATAGTTGACGATGTTGATGAACAACATTATACACAAGTGACTCATCGTATAATAACACAAAATCGATAAGCCAATGAACAGAAATTTTTTCAATGTCTTTGTTCTTGATGATGAATCTTCTATTCATTGGTAGTTTCTTCTCTCTTTCAAATAACAAAGGACGAAAAAAAAAAGAAATGTCTATGAACAAAAAAAAATCGAAAATGTCTAGTATTTTCACAATATATGACATATAATACGGCAGTAGTCATTCAATTAAATTTTTCTTATTGTTCTTGTTTCTCAATATATATAACGAACTCGTTAACCTACTTGGTGTTTTTACAGTGCGAAAAAAAACAAAGAAAAAAGTATTTTTTTATCACGTACATAAAATGACAATTATTGTGACAATGCTGTCAATATAAATAAATATATCATCTTTTGTTATCACAACATATGTTATTCTTTGAATTTTCAACATTTTTTTCCATTTGTTGTTGTTGTTGTTTTTTCCATATCAACTGTTTTTATTAATAGTTTTTTTTCTGATCTTTTTTTATGCTGTTCATATTGAACAGAATGTTTTTCTATTGGAAAAAAAAGAAAAACTTATAGCATTTCTATTGATCCAGCTTAACTTGTAAACTAGTCTGATGATTTTGATCATAACATTTTTTTCACTATAATTAGACTAATTAAAAGTCTGTGCCATACGTGTATACGTTTTTTATTTGTTGGTCGAATAACCGAATGAATCTTTTTTTTTGCGAAAAGAAAAATGGTAATCTCCTTTCACTCATTTATAATGATAAAAGTTGACAAAGATCCGTGGAGCATGGTTTGTGTTTGGAATTTTTTATACAGTAATACCCCGCTTAACGTGGGATTATGGTCCAAAAATTTTGAACGTAAAACGAAACAGCGCTAAACAACGTTATATCGAAACAGATCTAATCGAGGCAGCGTCAAGCAAGGTATTACTGTATATATAAAAAACCGTTACCCCACCTACAATTTTGACTGCCCATTCGTTTATTTTGTCTGTTTCATACAAAATTATTTCTATTTTCTATACTACTTTCTAGTTGACTTGAACAATAAAGAAAAAAAATTTGGCTTTTCTTTCTCGCATTTTTCATCATCATGTCAAAATTTTTTTTCATTTTCTTTTTTTTCAATGGAAATAGTTTTTTCTTGAACTTCATTTTGAATTCTTGGACTGAATTGGCATCTCAGCTTCTGGTTTTTTTCTTTATTTATATTCATTCTTAGAATATTTTTGTCGTTGAAAAATGGATTTTTGATATTTTTTCCTGCTCGTTTTTTTTTTGCTTTTCACTTGTATTTTACAAAATCGTGAATGAATGAAAGAATTTAGAAAATTAAACATTTTTTTTGTGTGTAAAAACACTGTTTATTATATCTATCTATGATATTGAATAGGTACATATATCATTGCGTTATTTTAGTTTGGTGAATTCTGTTTTGATACCAATTTATCATCACATTTTATCAGAAAAATGGATACATCTGATCTTTGGCCTAGTCCGATGTGTTTGACGTTATTTTCATACATTCTATTCGAATAAAATTTCAATTTTATCAGAATTTTCATTTTTTTACTACAATATCAAAAATGATGAATCTTTTTTTCATCGAATCGAATTTGTTGTTTTTTTCATGTTTCGTTTTGGTTATTAATAATATCTACTACAGCATATATATTGTTATTCAGGAAAAAAAGAAACGAAAATTTGAACCAAAGAAGAATGATTCATGACTTGTTGCAATCAATACAAGTATATGTATCATGAGTGTGTCAAACATTTTTTTATTCACACGCATAGTATTGTACTGATTTTATTTCAGATCAAATGGATCACACAAAAATTTTGAATGATTTTTCACTTTTCGAATTGATAGATGCAACGACACTTTCAGTACCATAATTCAATACACGCATGATGATATATTGACTGTTTTGTGTCTGCCTTTAACATCATTTGATCAAAAATTATTATTTACATTTATTGATTTTGTGGTACATTTTTTTCTTTTCAGATTATTAATCCTTCATCATATATCCATCCTATTATCGACCGCATATGCACACAGCTGCTTTGAAAAAAAAAAAAATGATAAGGATAACATGATCGAATTTGTTGTTTTTCAATAATCAATGAAAGCAATCATTCAAACATTTTATTAGATTCTTAATGTCAATTCGATTTTTTCTTTCCACTCTTTTTTCTGGTTCATTTTTATCATTTTTTCTGTTTGTGTGTTTCATTGTTGATTCATTTTCTTTTTTTGATTTTTTTTCCCACTACAATCATGGTGTCATTTTTTATTGAACCAAAAAACATTAAATAAAACTATTTGAATTGATTCTGATTTATCGCCAAAAACACTTATCAAATGAATAAAATACAAACATTCGTATTCGGTTCATATTCATATATATTTTTGGCGGTGATATATGCATATGTGTTGATATTTATGGTGAGAAAGAAACGAAAAAAAAAATTCAAAGCTATTAAATATTTTATATATTCCATATATATTCAAATATTGTTTTTTTTCTCACTGATTTAGCCGCTTATCGAATTTTCTGGTCCTTTTTGTATTATATAAAAATCTCATATGTAAAAGGATTATTACGCCACACGAGTTTAATAGTATTAATGATGATGATGATGATGATGCTGAAATTTCAATTCCGTTCTATTTCTCCAGTTTATTTTTGGTTGATTTTCTTTTTCAATTTATTTTTTACACATATATACCCATTAATATTCAAAGGATGTTGAAAGGAAAAAAAAATTTTTTGTTACACAAATAGAATTATTTCCAAATATAAATGAAAATCTCAATACGAATTCAGTACAACTTCATCATTATTTCTGACAATACATTTAAATTTAACACAATAAATACAACGGTAACGGATAAAAATGAATTATGTTATCACAATTTTAAGCCTTTTGGAACATATTCATCATTCCATACAATAATTTTGAATTCCAAAGATGCAATTTGAAATTTATTCAATTTCCATAATCTTTTTTTTTGCATGACTGTTGATTTTTGATCGGATAATTATGATCTTATTAATTTAACTACTTTCTGAATTTTATTATTTATTAATTTACAAAAAAAACCATCCCTTTACCTTTAAAAATAAGGGATTAATTAACAATATCTAAAAATCACAAAAAATGAAAAAAATTTTCCATATGAATTCAATTAACAGATTTTATTTGTACAAGTTTTTTGAAATATTTTCGAAAGAAAAAATAATTTTTATCAATTCCACAGGCCATTAAATTATGCGTCTGGTATTTTATCAGGTTCTTTGTTTGAATGGTATGAAGATGAAAAATTCAATCAAATTAATCAGACATTTTTATTGTCTATGCAGATGAATAAATGAAATTATTATTGTGATCAATACATTAAAATTGAGTTGAATAATCTTCCATTAGGCTATTTTATAATGATTCGGTAATTCTTTACAAAAAAAAATGATGAAAGAAAAATTTTTCTTTCATGTTAAAATAAACAAAAGACGTTTTTCTATAGAATCCTGAATCACCAAAAAAATGCTTTATGGAATGCATCAGATATAATTAGCCAAAAAATTTACATATGGTTCAATAATTTTGAATAAAACAATCTTTCGGAAAATGATGTGTTTTGCTTTAGTTGTACTTTAATTATAATTGATGATGATGTTAATGATAATAACATACATTTAGTTCCATTTTTTTTCTTCTGGTTATTATATCAAATCGGTGTTAATATTCAATAAATCCATTGAAAGAAAATTTTCCTGAAGCTGTATAGAATTTTTCCAATGTATGAATTTCTTTTATGTTTATTTCACAACAAAATTAATGGTTAAGAAGTCCATTTTTTCTTCATTTATATGAAAACAAGGTACAGATTTTTTTCCATCAAAACAATCATCAATGAGTATAAATATATTGATATTAAAAAGAAAATAACCAAACTATTTGAAAAAATTCTCATCATTATGTTTTCATAATAAAAGTTTTTTAAAGAAAAAACGACAAATCTTTACCATACCTTTTCCAACATGATGATTCTGGTAATACAAAGTGAAAAGTTTGAATGACGTTTTTTTCGAATTCATCTAGAAATTCTTACTTGGTCCTCTGGAATCTTTTGAATGACATTGGTTGAAATTCATCTATTTTTACAGAAAAAAACTTTTTCTTGTACTTTCTTTCATATAAAAAATAGTGAACAGCTATAACAACAGATAATATCCATCATGGACTGTTTAGTTTATTTTGTTTTCAAATCCAACTATCCTTAACTTCATCATTACATTCGATTCTTCTTTTTTCCTTTTTTTGATGAAATAGAAACATAGTTGGACAGTTTTTGTTTCAGAAAAGTTTATGATACATGTTCTTTTCTTGACTGGACATATATTTATTTTTTCACCAAACAATTATTGTAGTTTGTAATAATGGCATCATTGCACATCATTTCTAAATAATATTCTGTTCTTGGAAAAAACGAAACAAATTGTCATGTTCTTCTAACAATCATTGGTTTCTCCTTTAAATCACCGCATTCTGTTATGTATTTTATATTGATTTTCCAATTCATTTTCATTCATACTTTCATATTTCAATTTTTATTCTTCATAACATAACATGAAATTATTCAGATTGAAATAAAACCTGGAAAAAAAATTTTTTTTTTTCATGTCAAAACATTGATTTTCATTTTTTTCTTTATATCTCTGTGAATTCATTATTCCATCTTTGTTTTCTAAGTGTGTTTTTTTTGTGTGTCTGTGTATTTCATTATTTATATCAAAATTTATGTGTTTTCAGTTTTTGTTGTTTTTTTTCATTTTTTCTTGTTATTCAAATTCAATTTATTTTATGATAAATAATGGGATGATGATGATGGTGATCAGCAGGATTTTTTTTTGAAAAATCTGCATGAATTGAAAATTTTCATCCGACTTTTATCATACTCATATATTTCAATCATATAATTCCATTGAATTGAATATATTATTGCTGTGTCGTCAAAAAAAAAAAAAAAAAATTTTGCAGACACTTTACCATTATCGTCACAAATTATGATCAATTGTTCTGAATTGTAATTGTATTGGCTATATGGCTATAAATATTGATGATATGAAATCATATTTATTTAGCAACACACACACGCACAAAAATTTTCATGTCAAAATGATTTTTGTTACATGTTAACGCAGCCAATATCCATCCAAATTGTTTCATAGAATGATGTTGATAAATGTATATTCTTTATATTGGGAAATTCACGATGATGAAAATATTCAACAATCATCACATCACTTGATCACAATTGACAATGTTTTCATTATGAATTTTTCATAATAATGACAAAAATGAAAATGAAATTGAATGAATTCAAAATAAATGATCGTTTAGTATGAAATGAAAAAAAATTGATATTTAGAAAAAAAAATGTAGAAAATTTCAATCAACAACTTTGTTGATGTGCAAAAAAAGTAAAATATACTGTTATTTTGTTTTTTGCCCTTCTTCTTCTTCTTCTTTTCATCATTCCAAAACATTAGGAATTTTGTTTCTTTTTTTTTGAATTGCTTTTTATTCTTATTGAAAAATAAATTTTTCCATTTTTTCTTGTATATTCTATTTGATAATATAGTGGTCTGTACTGTTTACGCTGTGATAACACGTAATATACCAGAAGCATTCAATGAATCAAAATTCATTGGTTTCACCATGTATACAACATGTATTATATGGCTTGCATTTGTGCCAATATATTTTACATCATCACAAAGTAATCATATAGCGCTCAATTTAACAACATTATCTGTTTCAATATCACTTAGTGCAACGGTTACATTATTGTGCCTATTTTCACCAAAATTATATATAATCCTTTTACATCCGGAAAAGAATATTCGTCAATCGGTTACAATGCCTCAACATAAGTATTCAACAACAATACATCATCATCATAATCAACAGCAACAACAATCTAATCAAAAAACTGTAAGCATGACACCAACAGCACCACCATCATCATCATCATCAAATACAATAACGGCAGCAAAACCAACAATACAATCGGATCCATTATCAACAACATTTAATGTTGGCGGTACTGGTGGTGGACAAAATGCCGTACTTAAAATGAAAAGATTCAACATTCAAAATGATAATAGCAACAATATTGTTGAACAACAACAGCCAACAATTAATCAAGTTGATTCATCCACACAATCGGATGGTAAGTTTTTTATTATATAACTCATTATTGTTTTAGTAAAGAATCCTAGATCACATTTTTTTTCGAATATTTAATTGAAAGATTTTTAAATGATTCTGATCGAAAATTATTGGCTAAAATATTTCGATTGATTATCTTAATTTATCACATTTGTCTGATTAATAATGTGTTTATGTGTATATTTTAAAATGTTGATCACACCATCATCATTGACTTTTTTCCATATGAATTTATGTAATTTTTTTTTATTTTCTCTTCTGTTTTTCATATAGCATTCATTCATAGTCTATTTAATATTCTGTGTGTGTGTGTGTGTATGTTTGAGAATGAATGCATGTTCTAATCAAACGATATATGGAACAAGAATATCAAAAAAAACTAATTACAATTAATGCACACACACACACACATTCACTCACAAACAAAAGCAATTGAGCCTTGAGATACACGTAAACACATATAATTTTGTTTAGATTTGGAAGTTGGCTGTCAGAATCTGGCTGATCAAAATACAAACATACACATACACTGAAACATCAACTTGACTATCATCATAGCTATCAACAACAACTACATGATGATGATTAGGATGATGATGATGATGATAAAACCGACATTACCAGAAAAAAATAAAAATTACGAACAAATAAAAACACCAATATATGTCGACCATACATAAATAAATTGGTAATATTTAAGCATAAATGTAAACATTTAACTGGAAAAATGAGCCGCATCTTGTTCCGAAATTCTTTGGAACCCTAAATACAAACGCACATACATACACTAATCTATACTGAAATTCTTGAATGCACGTTCATATATATTATATGGATGGATGATTACCCGAAAACAAAAACTATATTCATGCGTGTATGTATTTTAGTAAGAATAACATTTGTGCTTCACTGTCTGCTTATTATATATTACACTAGGACCGATATCATCACTACGATGATTATAATGATCGGGACCCTAAATACAAACTGCATACATTTACCATAGCAATTACTTTTAATTAGATCGCTTACAATTTTTTTTTCTTCTTCTTTTTTTCTACTATTGTCGTCATCATTATTGTCATGGTTGCCGTTGGTTCAATGCTGCTGTTGTTATTATTAATGCTTATTATACTGATTAATGTCGATTGTAGAATTATATTTTTTTTCCATCGTCTTTTTTGGAAATATTTTAGCAAAAATTCTTTTTTCAATCCTTTAATACATGTTTGAATGAGAAAGCAAAACTATTTTTCCTTCTTGAATTGTTATTTATCGATCAATTGATGGTCTAAACATTTATTTTCTAATCTAAGATTCATTCACATTAATCGATTTTTCATTACATTCAATTTGATGATTATATTATTTTTGTATATGAAAATAATGTCAATATCTAATTGCATTTGAATCATATCTGTAGCATTTGTAAGTTAAAATATTTAATTTAATTTTTTTTCGGATTCACAATCTTAATGGTAAACTCTAAATGTTTCAGATAGTTTTATATGTTGTTTAAATCTATGTAATTAAAGTATTTCATCAACATATGATTGATTTCTGTATAAATATTAGATGTGATTAAATTAAAAATCATTACAGCACAAGCAAAACCAAAAAGATCGATAAAAAAATTCAATACCAATAACATTGTCGTGAGACCTAATTACGTGATGTGTGTCATTAGTTTTGACAAAAAAAAAATAAGGACAGCCAAAAAAATGACATGAAAAAAATGTTGGAATTTATTACAATTTTTCTTTTCCATCATCTATTTTATTGAATTTTAAAACATTATGATAAATATTGTTAGTTTTGGTTGTTATATCAAATTTTCTTCCAACAACAACCCACGCACACTTTCGGTGTCTATGTGAAAATGAATGAAATTTAAAAGTTGTTCCAAATGTTTGTTTATTATATTTATTTTAAAATTCTTATTTGTTTTCACATCTATCTTACAAGTGATGATCAAATTAGAAACTTGCCTTAAGATATTTTGAAAAAAATTATGCAGACAAACACACATTGATAGACAATGGAAAAAATTTACATTGTCGATATGAATGATATGATGATACATATGGTAGTTATAAATAGTGACATAATTTAAATTTTTTTTCCTTACAATTCTCACATCAAACTACAAAATTCAATTAGTCATTGAAAATGAATTTAACTATTTTCTATTCAACTAAAATTCTCTATAAATAACATGTACATTTCAATCGACATTGAAAAATTGACAAATAATTTTTCAAGTGAATCAAAAGCATCATTATGTGGAGATAATAATCGTTATTGTATTAAATAGAACTAACAACAAAACTTGTATTTCATTCATTTTTTCACAATAATTTAAATAAGAATTAATTAATTTTATTATTGAATTTTTAATTTACATTATAATTTATTTATTTTTTTTCATTTGAATGTTTTTTATATAAAAACAAATCAAGACACACACACACGCAAACACGAAAAACTATATTCATTCATCATTTAGTTTTAAAATACGTTTGTTCGTGATTTAACATTTTTTGTTTTCTTTATTTGAAATGCCATTTATCTTTGAAATTTATTACCATCTATATATTTTCGATCATTTATTCCTGAACGAATATAGTGTATATTGTATGCTTGTCAAGATTATGATGATGATAATTATTCTTTGGAGCAAGCAAGAATTCAGAAAAAAAACAAATTTAAGCATATCTGGAATAGAAAAAAAAGGATCTGACTCGTGGGACCAACGCAACAGAAATAATATGCTTACAAATGAACCATCTGCCCCGTTTGGCAGCATGCTACACTTTCTTAATTCATTTGTTTTATATTATTAGATTTCCTTTATTTTTCCTAATAATAATAATGTCTTAACACCGTTCTACGCCTTTTCCCTCATTATGTTTGTGATTCTTATTCATTTTTCACAAATTTTTGAGATTCTGTACTATGTTTTCTGAAAATTAAATGATATCTTAATACCGAAAAACCATAAGAAAACATCACGATGGTTTGTAGGGAATAAAATTTATAAATCAAAACTGCTTCTCTCAAATACACCATACATTGGAAAGAAGTTTTTCTGGAACAATTGAAACATTACAGAAATATCATGAACAAGCTTCACATTCATGATGATTACCTAAAAATTATGCAATTTTTGTTTATTTTAGAAAAGTTTTTTCCAACTATTTTCATGGTTTTTTGTTTTTATTTCAGATTTTTTTTCCAAAAAAAAAACACCAGAATTTTGGTCACAATACTTTGATCCAAGTTTTTATGGCAGTTTTTCTGTTATAATTTTCGTAATGGTTTTGAGCTGATGCCTGAAAATTATAAAAGTTGAAAAACAATTTATTCACTGAAAAAACATGAATACAACGTCAAACAAATATATAATTGTCAACAAAAAAAAAAAAATTTATGTGTTATTTTGAACCAGGAAACAAATTGAAGCAAAGAAATTCTTGTTTTTCTTCATTAACATTGTTTTGTGGAAAATTGTAAATCGATCAATTTGTCTTGAAATTTCCGGAATCAAATGTTTTTTCCAAGTAAATAATTGAATGAAGAAAAACGATGCATTTATGTTAGTGAAAAGTATTGCTATTGCATTTGATTTGAAAAATCTTCAAACACAAAAAAACACGCAAAAAAATAGTGGAAATGTCCTAGATCAAAATATCTAAAGACTTGTTTTCATTGTTTATGGATGTTATTATTGTATTGTGAATAATGAAGAATTATTGTAGTGGATTCATTCTCTATTTACATTACTTTCATCACGTATTCTACGGAAAATTCTTCTTGCTACAGAATTTTTTTTACTTAGTTCTAAAACCATAAATATCTGTTTTCAAAATTATATTCTGTTTAAACAATGTCGTTCTATTCACATATATAAAGTCGTCGATTCTCAATTTATAGAAAGTAAAAGTTTTTTTTTTGTTTCTTCATTCTATATTTTGCCTTATGCACAAATTCATTAATTATGTTTGATGTCAGTGTATCGACCTTCATTTTTGTGTTTAAGGATATTATGCATAATATTGAATTTTTTTCAACATTATTAAATTCTATAGAATATGAATAGCTTTCACATTCTGTGTAGACTTGTATGTGCATTTAATGGCCAATCGAATTTTTTTATTAAATGCAATTTTATTCATTGTAATTGATTGCTTATTAATTTCTTATTGTTATGCATAAATTTTTTCTATTTTTCTTTTTGGTCTCATTATTAGAATATGAAATGTCCGAAGTTATGATAGTTACTGCTTCTGGTGGTCAACATTCAAAAACATCGACAGATGTTAACCATTTAACAACATCAACCATGACCAATAATGGTAATATTATGGCTCATCATTCACACGTTTATTATCATTATAATTGCTGTAATAGCAATCAACATTATAATAGTAATGAAAATAGACGTGATTCAACAAAAAGTTTACCACCACCAATGACCACAAACATTAACATCAGTAATAATAATAATCATCATCAACATTTTAATAATCATCGATGTCGTTGTGTGGCTGCGACACTAATGACGACAACCCAATCACAACCAAATCAGCCAATAACATCACCATTGTTACGATCATCTGGTTTTGAAAAAATAGAAATAAAGGATCAGATAGACCAAAATAATAAAGTGAGTAAAGGTACACAAACTGTTTTAAGTATGATGAAAAATGATATAAATGGTAGCATTACTGGCATTTCCGGTGCTAATGTCAATACAAAGGTAAATGAAATAACATCTACTGTAACAGCCACTGCTGTAACGACGGTATCACCTACCATCAACCCTACATATATTGGCCACGAAATTGAACAATTTTGATTCAAAAAAAATATATATTCGTTCCAACGTTGGTGGAAGATTATTTTGTGTTTTGTTTTTTCAAAATGACAACATTGTTATATATTTATCTGCAAATATTTTGATTTGAATCCAAATTTTTTCAAATGTTAATATTATAAATATTGAAAATCACTGTTTTCTATATAATCATCATTGTGTATAATATGGTTTGCTGTATTTTTTTTTGTTTGTTTTTTGTAAATGTCTAATTCTTTGTCTATGATTATATTATACAATTGTTTTCAATAGAAAATTATGATTTGATAATAATAAATGATTTAAAATTTAAATTTTTCTTTTTTTTTCGGTGAGAATACAATTCAATACATATTCTGTTCTATGGGATTTTTGTCATTTGTTTTTGATGTTTGTAATTTTTTTTGTTCTGGTCTGAAAGAAATTGAAAAAAAAAATATAATCGAAACCAGACAGCGTAAACATTTGGAAAGTATGCATAAAAAAATACTGGACATTCCCGCCCACATACTCACAGATCATTGTTGTTGGTCAGATTTCAGAAACTGTCATGAAGTTTGGCTTGGCCATTAATTTTGCATATTTTTTTCTTTTTTTCTTATTTTCCGGTTTGAATCATCAAACTGTGAACTGCAAATGATGGCTGTACTGGTAAGTAGTGACAATTCATTCAGTGAGGATTATCTAAAAAACGATTACCATCAACCGAATAAAAAGTAAATGGAAAAAAAATTTGGGAAAACCTTTCATCGAAAATGACCAACATAAAAATTGATTCCTTCTGGAACATCATTATCACTTTTTTCACATCATGATGATCATCTCTATGATAATATCTTTAGAATCTTAGATTACAAACCTCAAATTGATTGTTTTTGTTGATTTGGATGACTACTTGACGTTGGTCAATTGCAATCATTCGTAGAATATGAACAGTATACTGCAATTTTGATCTGAAATTTTGTATATAAATGAATCTGAAAATAAACTGAGCATAATGAATATTCTTTTTTTTTGTTGGTTATAAAATTTTCTTATATTTAATGCATGAAAACTATTTGTACAATTTCATGGTCGACTTGACGCCCAATCCATCAGTTACACTTTGATATGAGGCAGTAGTTAATTAAATAGTCTTTTTTACCACCAATCTGTTACAATCAAACATAAATAACAAACACAGAGGCCAATGAAACCGATTCTTGAATACATTTATTTGTTATTAATAATGAAAAAAAATATATATTCAATCTATAGTATTGTACTTGATTTTGACATATGTATCATATGTAACCGACTAAATTACATACAACATTTTATTCATTTTGGCGATCGACCTAAAAATCGATGGACCAAATATAATCTGAAAATGAAATATTAGTCCCAGACATCAAGAATCAAGAATGTTAGTAATAAAATAGTCAGTGTTGAAGAAAGGTAAACTTTGAAGTTTTAACATTGATTAAATTAAAAGTTACATCAAGTTAGTTTATCTGAGATGACATATTTTCTGCCATTCAAATCCGGTGGTTTCAAACCAAATATTGCATGAAGATCATTAGATGAATTTCACTTATTAAGATCCATACTATATTCTAAAAATATAATGAACATCACGCGATTGAATAAATATTTGTAACGATGTTTTTTTCTTTGTTTTTGTTAATTTATTTTTCTGGCTACTCTCTATACAGAATTTGAGTTTAAGCCTCATAACCTTTGGCTTTTGTAATTTGATTCCTATCATTCATTCATTAAAAAGTAATTCACTTAATGAAAATCGAAGCAAAGTAAAGGAAATAAAATTTCTGAATCTGACACATCTGAAAAAAACAAAAAAAGAGGGTAAAAAACAATGTTTTGAATATTGATATGAGTGATTGGAATATGGGTTCGATAAATTTTTTTCTCTCATTTTTTTTGGTTAATCATCGTAAACGAAATCATTGCTGTCATTGCCCGTATATCATTATTGACATTTGTTTTACATGATTTAATTTTTTTTTCGGTTAGTTACTATACTGTTTGATGGAAATTTTTAATTATCGAAGACATTTTTTTTATTTTTTTCAACACATTTCACATTATTTTTATTATTATTGGAGTGAAAAATCATTGACATTTTACATGAATTTTTTCTCCTTCTCTGTCGTATGGTTATATGTTTGGAATGGATTTTTAAAATTAATTTGTGACCTACAATTTTTTTTATCGCCATCACATTTTATTTTCATGAAGTTTTTCTTCTCTTTTGTGTTTATCGTTGTCGTTCGATACGATCGAATGAGGTCCTGTTTTTTTTTGTTTCACCATACACATATACATGCTGTAAATCACGTCATGTTAATGTCGTTATAGTATTTTTAGCATTACAAAAGAATACATTGCTTGTCGAACACTCACAAACATACACCAGAGACAAGCACAGCTTGTTGAACAGAGAAATTCATTTCTTTGAATGAAAAAATAGTGTTTTGAAAAAAAAGTGAAAGTAAACTCCGATTTCAAAGAATCTTTATAAAGTAATAATATTACTGAAATGAGAGCAAGAAAAAAAATGTGATTCAAATGCGTTTGGCGAAAATGGATTGTTACTGGAATGAATTGAATAATAACCAAGATGTAGTGAAGAGAGAAAAGTAATTGAATAAATCATTCCATACACACACACACACACATACATACATACATACAATTTGATGGTTGATAATGTTATTCGAATCGATCCTTTTTTTTCTCATTTAGATATTCGTTTTTTTTCTCCTTTGTCATTTATTTTTTTTTTCTGTACATTTCAAATCAATATTATCATTTGTGTCAAATAAGACAAACCTTTTTTTATTTACAAACAAATGTCTTTGATAATGGTTCCAAGAATAAAAATTGTAATGGGATGTGAAAAATTTAAATTTTCATTTTACGTTTCAATGATACAATTTCATACAATTCATATCTATGATGTTTCAAATCACAATATACCATTGTGTATTGGAATTACAATACTAAACAAGTTTAGTAACTGGACAATGTTTTTTCCGTTTTAATCAACATTCTAGTCACATTGATCCAAGTGATTACATGGTTAGCAAAAAAAAAATAGTAGTCATCATATAACAGAATAACAAATTCAACCAGATAGCGGACGATGAAAAAAAAAGTTCAGCTAACAAGTTGATATAATGCAATGAGTATGAGCAAACATTGTGGTGAAAAAAAAATGAGAAATAACAAACTATGCAAAAAATGATGACAATGATCAATATCTATTGGTTATTCAATCAATGAGAAATGAGTTTTTTTTTATCATATCAAATATTGTTGAATCCAAATATAAACTATTATTTATCCATCCATCTTTTTTGTTGGATTTGCTCATCATCATTGATCATGATTGAAAAATGTATTTCTCTTTCCTATCAATATTATTCATTATCCCTATAGGGATGAATTTTTGTTTTGATAATACTATCGAATGAGATGTGAGAAACAAAATTCGTCATGTTGAATTAATTTCCAGAAAAAGATTCCATCAACATAATACATTTGTTATAAAAAAAAAACAAAAAAAAAAAGAAAAATTATTCTTTCTATCTTTTCTTTGGCTTCAAGGGTAATGGGAAAAGACAGAATTTTAAATTTGAACAATGAGAATTTAAAATACGAATCAAAATGTTTATCAGAAAATGTTTTTTTTAAATCTTGAACAATTTATTCAAATTTTTTCTGACGTCGACGCGTCATCTAGTGTTTTGGTTTGAAAGTGGTTTTAAATGTTTTTATTATTCTGCCGAAAGGTGACACTTATGGCGGTCCATCGCTTTCTTTTCAAACTGTCAATTGGTATAATTTCAATATATACGAAACTATAGCAAAAACTAATATAAAGCAAAAAATATGACCCTTAATGACGATGAAAAAAAAACGGCTGATAATGAAATATTCTTCATCATTATGATCATCGATGAATCTTGGCAGATGTATAGATTTTTTTTTTTCGTTCCTTGAAGCTACTACCCGACTATCGATCGTCATTTCTTTTTCCGTTTTCATTTCTCAATGAATTGAAAAAAAACATCATTAAAAATTGAAACCAATTTTTTTTGCCATTCGAAACAAAAAAAATCACAAATTTTGAAAGCTTTTTCACATTTCATTGGGACTTTTTAAACTTTTTTTTTCATTTAGCAAACAGAATTCGGTTGAATTTCAAGTCGGTTAGACACACACACACACACAATTGCAGAAGGCCAAATAAAACTGAAATCTTTCGACTAATCAATTAGAAAAAAACTTGTGAACCAAAAAAACAAAGAAAAAGGAAAAAAAATCGATAAAATTGATCTCGTTTCTTTGTCGTTTCATTCAAAATTTTTTTTCTCAATTTAAAAAATTTTCATTTCAAAGATGCATATTTATTTTTAAATTTTTTTCTCCTACCTGCAACGGTTTGCATTTGACCACACAGCTTTCTTGGAAAAAGTTAATCTTCCTTTCTTATTTGTTGGTTTGGCCTCATTTGATTTTTTTTTCATTTTTCTTTTCTACGTATTCCAAGAAAAATTTTCCTATTCATTCATTCAGATCGCTAAAAACGTTTAAGTGTTTGTGTGTGTGTGTGACTGTTGTGTGGTGAATACAAGGACAATTCTTTGGAAATCTTTCTCTTTCACCCTACGCAAACAACAATGATGGCAGTTTGTCTTTTACATTGCTTAAGGGGTCATAATCACAACCAAACACATTTTCTGGTTACTCGTGGTAACAATAATAATAAAAAAATAGTTTTTGTATATGCTATGGGCTGGACTTGTTATACATAATACAATTGTATAATTGTTGGTATATGCTATGGGCTGGACTTGTTATACATAATACAATTGTATAATTGTTGGAAACACCAATTTTTTTTTCTCTAAACTCATGATGATTCATCTTACATTGATAATATTTTATACAGTGGTTTTATATTCCCATTTTTTTTGAAAATACTATCTGACTAAGATGTGTACTTTTTTTAGAGCCTGTTGGATTGTTCATCAACATACACAAGCAAATCGAAACCATCATTGTAGATAAACATAAAACAAAATGT